CGCCGTGTGGGCCGACCACCGGTCGGTTTCCACCTCCCACGAACCAGAGCCGCCGGTGCGGTACACAACGATCTTGCCGGTCGAGTTGCCGGCCGCCAGAAACTTGCCGTCGCGGGAGAAGGACAGGGTGGAGATTTGGGCGGAGGAGTTGGTCAGGACGGCGACGGGCTGCGAGGAGAGGGTGCCGTCGGAGCTGGAGAGCGAGTGGATGCGGACCGTGTTGCCGTCGCCGCCGAGAGCAATGACGGAGGCGTCCGAGGGGGAGGTGGCGATGGCGGTGGGGGTGAAGGTGGTGGGGAGCTCGGAGATGAAGTCGGAGCCCTCCTGGTAGACTTGGATGCCGGTGTGGGCAGCCACGACGACGAACTTGCCGTCGCTGGTGGTGGCGACGCCCTTGGGCTGGGCCGAGAGCTGGGTGGATGAGCCGGTGAAGGTGTTGGCGGACACGTCGACGGAGCGGAGAGTGTCGTCCCAGCCGACGCTGTAGATGGTGCCGCCCGAGGGGGAGGGGGCGAACTGGGTCACTTGGTTGGAGTGCGACTGGCCGTCGACAACGGTGCCGGTGCCCGCGGCTAGGTCCCAGCTCAGGACGCGGCCCTCGAAGCTGCCGGTCAGAAGAGCCTTGCCGTCGGGACTGGCGCCAAGGGCGGTGATGTTCTTGTTGTGGCCCTGCACAACACGGATGGGCTTGGGGTTGCCGGGGACCAGGTAATTGAGGTCGCCGTTGAGGTTGAGGCTGATGATAAGCCCGTCGGTGCGGCCGTGCGGCCAGACCACGCCAACTTGCTGGTCGGGGATGCTGATGCTGCCCTCAGGGCCGAACCGCCAGGACTCTGTGTTCTCGCCCGACTCGGCATCCCATACGCGAACGGTCTGGTCGGCGCTGGAGGTGACGAACCGCTTCGAGTCCGAAGCCCAACTGATGCCATAGATACCGCCGGTGTGGACACCCTCGCCAATCGTCTTGGTGGGCGCGCCCGTCTTTCCATCATAGAGCTGGATCTTTCTGTCGGCACCGACCGTAACCAAAGTTGTACCGTCTGGGCTGAACGCCGTGCCGGTAACGAACCCCTTGTGCTCCGAAGCCTTATCGGCGAACTTGAAGGGTGCGCCGTGGAGGAAACACATAGATCCATCGTCTGACACCGTGGCCGCACGCAGCGGCCGCTGTTGCCTTATGCTGACGGCATTGACAACCTTGCTGTGGCCCGTAACCTCACCAACGCTGTTGCCGCTGTCAGCAGTGAAAGCGTGGCCAAATCGCTCGCGGCCATCGCCGACGGCAATCACGCGCTGCGAGTCGCCGTCCCAGGCAATATCGTTTATGCGACCAGAAATGATCGAGTATTCGCCCTTGGTGTTCTCGGCGCCGACGGCGTCCCAGACGCGCACCTTGCCGGAAACATCACCCGAAGCGACCCAGAAGCCTGATGGCGAGAAGCGGGCAACGGTAGTGGTGGTCGTGTGGCCAGTATACTGGAGGGACTTGGATGGCTCGTCGATGGTGCGAACGAAGATGGATTTGCCGGACTGGGGGGTTTCAAGGTTGTCTTGGTAAGCTCGAGTGTACCTTAGCTTGTGATGGTGTTGCTGGCGGTGAAGCGACTTACAGCGTAGACTATGCGCTCGCCCTTGGGATCGCAAGAGAGCTGGGTGGCCTGACCACGGGTCGTGGCGGGCGCGGAGGCCAAGATCTTGTCGATTTCGATGGGCATCTTGTCTTGTTTGACTCTTCTGGTTGTTGCTTCGTATATAGCTTGGGGGCGCGAAGGTAAGTGATCGGCGAGTTGGTGTTTGTTTATTATAGGGGGCTATGAACCCAGCTGGGAGCTCGTAACAAGGGGGAGCTTCCAAGGTGTCAGGTCGGTGTTAGATGGACCCCATTGGAGCCTGAACAATGATGCAGTGGGACGCGCGGCGAGACCTACATGGACAGTGGGGTTGGCGTTGCGGGGTAGCGCTGCTACCAAAGTGGAAGCAACAGCGGTTGAGGGACAGCGAACAAGCAGGAACAAAACTAACAGTGCCTGGCATCCGTTCTGGATAGAAGATGTTTTCGGGCTGGAAGTCGAAAGACCAAAATTATGCTCAGCCTTCACACGACATGTCGATCTATAGCCATATGGTTACAAAATACAGAGTTTTACACGCATGAAGTGACTCTACCCAGTTGAAACGTAAGTTCGGCCTTGATCTTGGCTTCATCAGACAAGGTTGCATTGTGCCAAGGCTAGCACCCACGCGTCAAAAAGGGGTGTTTGTTGACAAGCGTCGCCATAGAAACACATTATCCTCCAACAGTCCTCTACGTACCTAGGAGGGACAGATGGTTTGTGTGGCATCCCGACGGCTCATACCACCATCTCTTCAGGTAATTACCCTGCTTGCTTTTGTTACCTACTGCGGATCAGGTTCCGGACTAACACAGCTGGGGCTTCAGATCGAAATTGAAGCTGGCTGGGTTCACTGATGATTGACAAGATAGCATGAAGATGACAACTATCAACGGTGACAGAGGTGAAAGAAATCGAGTGGGAAACACTGAACGGCGAAGGAGAAGTCTATAAGCTGGGCTAGACTGTAAAATCATGATACTCAAAGCAGGGCGAAAAACAGGACTACAGGAGGGAGTGTGGTGTTGAAGCGGCAAGTTTCAACTTCCCTTGGTAAAATCCAAATTCCACGTCCACGGCAAAAAGGCGAGAATCACTGTGGATGCTCTGAGGGATGAGCTTGACAGCAATTGCAAAAAGTTCAAAAAAGAAGTTGTGACTCGGATACCGGGAGTCGAACCCGGGGCTGTTGAGAGAGCAGTCACTCCTGAGAAGTGAGAGTCAACGATGTTACCGCTACACCATACCCGATTTGGAATGGTTTCCGATCTTGGTTGACAGAAGGCCTGGCTGTGGGGATTATAAGAGCCAAATATGTCTGTTCGGCTACCTTTTTAACGTCCATGATCCAAACAACACCCCTTTTAATCTTGAAAGCCAGATGGGCCACAGCCATTGTTCAGACTCGCACATCGTTCGTCGTTCATGACCCATTACTGACGTCCTTACCATATGAAATACCATACTCGAGGGACTGGAAGTAATCTTGAAGGAGATGCTCTGTGAGAAAGCGTCCTCGGTAGGATCCCCAGATAAATTTGCACCGTCCGAAGGCTCTCTTGATATCAAGAATCGCCGAACCAGATCTTGAAGGAGAAGATGAGACGTAAGGAGGAGTGAACTCAGCCATCATCTTCTTATCATGTGGAGTCAAGTTGCTTTGGCGACAGCTGTCAACCTTCCGAGGCGCACGCATGCAAAAAGACCGAAATCTGATATTCATCGTTGGGAGTTAATCGCAATTCAACGGGCAACAGACGAGCTTGATCCTGCATGTCAATTTGCCGGAGGGAAGGTTGGAAAAAAAAAAGGAAGGGGCAAAAAGCTCAACCGCCGAGGCCAGAGTTCAAATTGACCAGCTGCCGCCTATGAAAACTGTACCACCAGCACCACGCACCGGGCAATGTTTTCCTAGCCCAACTACCGCTTGACCACGGAAAGGACCTGCTTGAACCTTCCGAATCCCAACCTTATGTACCCGAGGGGAGTTTGAACTTGCTGGTCCTAATTTCCAGCCGCACTAGCTGCAGTCAACCCCGTCGCATCAAATGTTCTCTCTCTGAATAAAATAGCGCCGGCCATTTTTGCCACAGGCGTCCCGAGGCTGAAGATGATGCGGTACTGAATGGCGTGAGCTAGGCAGAGAGGACAATGCCTATCCTAACTGGTATCGTGGTTCCTGCTGCGCGCGCTGTTGCCACGAGACGCCCCCACATGTGAAGTTGGTAAGGTATGTTGCTCCCATCAATATGCGAGTGAGTGGTAGGAGACAAATATTCGGTCAACCTTCCCGCACCTGATGCTGTCCTCGTCCGAGGCATATTCTGACGTTGTTGGCCTCGGCAAGGGTCGACGCAATCTTGACCTGGTGTAGCAATTTCAACCAGGCGACCGGCGCTCAGTGAAGACATAACTGGCTTAACCGAGTTCCACGTCAGGTCCTCATCAACCAGCCTGACAAGTGTTGCACCTCATGGAGGCAAGGTAGTGATGGTTATGGAGGGCTTCAACGTGGGTTCGAAGATGTCGAAAAAGAGTGATATACGAATTTTGATCCTCTGTATGTCATTGCGATGGTCTTCGGAGTGTCAGATCTTGCTGAACTGGTTATCAAACGATCAAATACAAGCAACGATGAAGGGGCGGTATACGCGACTGTTTGAGTTAAGTGATAGTAAGTAAGTTTTGGAAAAGCAACTGGTCAGAATACCTGTCTCTGATACAGATAGTTGTTGAGGACCGTCATATTTGTGCGTGAAACCTTTCATGAGTTCTTGCGCAGTGCAAGTGGAAGTTCCTCCCAGCGAACAGGGTGGCACGTGCTCCCTGTCGATTAGGAGCCAAGCGTGCTTATCACTACACTCACGCCACCCCCTCCCGGCGTCAGCCCCAGGTTTTGGAGCTTTGGAGGACCCCCGATTCCATTTCCCCCATCAAAGCACATGGAGAAGACGTGACGGAACAGCTGCAGAAGGCCAAAGCACTTTCTTCGCGTCGACCAGGGCCCTTCTTTCAGTCGATTGTCCCATCATCAGCCCCATCCCACCACGCAACAAACACATTCTTTCTCGCAACAAGGTTCCCAAGGCTCTCCAAAAAGGCGGTGCTGTCCGTTTCAACTGAAAGTAAGTTAAGTTGGGCTTCAAGGTTCCTGGCCCCGTGTCCAGTCCCCTCATCCCTTGCTCCAGCCCAGGTCCCGTCTTTTCGAAGGTCCACGGGAGCGGACCCCTCCCCACTTTTGTATTCCTTTTCCTCCACCATTGCATCGGTGACCAACGACCTGACCACCTTGGCCTCGCTCCTACAGCCCGTTGCGCCAGTCTGACCCAAACCACCACTTTTCGATCCCGCCCATTCAGGTTTCTCTCACTAACCTGTCAACTTCAGTTCCATCACGCAACCAAGACCTGACATTGATACACGCGACACAACCGCGACAAGCAGCTCTCCAATCAAGCAGACCAGCAACATGTCGTCCGTGGTGCAAGAGGAGGAGAAGCCCCAGGAGGCCCCTCAGGAGCAACAGGAGGAGCAGCAGCAGCAGGAGCAGCAGAACGCGGGGGACGATGTCAACGATGATGAGGTGCGACAGCTTCGATTAAGACCCAGAGATACGATCAACCGTGTTTGCTTCCACGCGGAGTGCAGGCGCTAACACCAAGTAACCGTGAACAGGAGGAGATCTCGGCCATGAAGCGCCGTGTCGCCGAGATGGAAGAGGAGGCCGCCAAACTCCGCGAGATGCAAGCTACCCTGGACCAGCAGCATCACGAGCTCACCGAGAACAAGGAGGACATTGATAGCCGGAGCATCTTTGTCGGAAACGTCGACTATTCAGCTTCGCCCGAGGAGATCCAGGCGCATTTCCAGAGCTGCGGGTCTATCAACCGAGTCACGATCCTCCTTGACAAGTTTACCGGTCAACCCAAGGGGTGCGCATTTTCCCTTGCTTCCCACTCAACTCATCTAAAGCTCATAAACTGACTGTGCCTTAAATCACATAGCTACGCTTACGTCGAGTTTACCGAGCCCAGCCTAGTCGCACAAGCCCTTGTCCTCAACGAGAGTGTCTTCAAGGGTCGCAACATTAAGGTCGTTCCCAAGCGCACGAATATTCCCGGCATGTCGCGCGGCGGTCGGGGCGGCCGAGGTTCCTTCCGCGGAGGCGGTCGCGGCGGCTATTTCGGTGGACGGGGCGGTGGTTTCCCTCCCAGGGGAGGCTACCGTGGCGGCTATCGTGGACGCGGCCGAGGAGGCTACGCTCCTTACTAGTCGTTTGGTGGTGGTTTGACATACGGCACAGGATCCCGCATTCATCAGGACAATCAGAGCCGTATGCGGCCCTCCCTGACATGCGCAGACACTACCTGGAATTGTGAAGATGGGCTCGATCTCATCTGAGCACCACTATCAGGCAACCGGTGTACGTGTTGCGCAGGATCCATGGGAACGTTTTTTTCCTTCTAATGGCTGTAAGATTAGGATATATCAGCAGGGAAGAGGAGGAGGACACTTGAATGGTGGAGGAAGGGAAGGGTTGGTTGTCTTGGCCTGTTTTTGCACCATGGGAGCAATGGGATTTTCAAAGTTTTCATTTTGGCTGCGCGTATCGGCAAGGCGTCAATGGGTGGGAGGGTAAAAAGAAGGACAAGGCCAATTCCAAATGCTCTTTTTTTTTCTTCGTCGTTTTTCATCTCATGTTCAATTTTTGTATTTGATATTTGGCATAAGCGCCGCCTACTTTTTCAGTTCGACATTTGCTATGGCTATGAGCCTATATGACTCTTTCGCTCCCAATAGGTAATTCGCAAGAAAGGTGGAGGAGGAGGAGGAATGTCAGATGGACTGCTTGCTCAGTCGGAATCATCAGCGAAGTTGCTTAATAGGGGCTGCCTACTACCGCTAGCCATCATCACAAAATGACTAGCTTTGGCGATAATTGAAGCTATCACTACAACTTTGCGAACTTGTGCCCAATATAGTGAACAATGCTACTTCATCCACACCGCCATTGTTGTCCTGACACTAAAAAAGGCAATGTCCCCGGATCGCCAAATGCCATGTGCCGCCGCTTTGCCGCGAACCTACATGTCAACATTTCCCACCGAGGTTGAGTTGAAGATATAAAGGGCGTGCCAATGACTACCCAGTGAACACCTGCGCAAGATACATTTTGCTGCGATGAGACCGACACCGGCTCGTGGTTAAATCCGAACTGTTTTCATGGAATCATGGGACTCTTCAACTTTATAGAGTGGCAAGCTTTAACCTAAACACAGTCCGACTCCATAACCCTCGCTGGTCATTGTCACCCATAGGATTTTTTCCGTTCTATTTCAGATCCAACATCGGTACCTTGTACACATCGGAGAGCTATGCCCAACTCAATGCTCCTCATGAGGCATAGTAGCGTAGAAGACCTACTTATACGCGGATGCGCATTACATTCCAAGATGTCGAACGAAAGGCGTTCTTCTGTGACCAATCACTATGAATGGCGTCAAAAACTCCCGTCGAGAGCACACACATGAAAAGAGACTTCCATTGAAAATCCCTAGATGCAGTAAAGCCCCGCAGTGGCATCAGACATGGAGATGACCCAACGTTTATGTCAGTGATGGGCTATTGTTGGAACAGCAGCGTCTCGGCCGGCGGCAACGGGGGTAACGGCCTAACGGGATGCGCCAGCGAACGCCTTTTTGCACAGGCACGGTGCATTGTGGTTATGGGATGCACTGTACTGTTGAACTCACTGTTGAATTTGAGGTCGGAGTTTCATGATAGTGAGTTGATATGGTAGATATGCTCAAGATCATGATCATCTCGGATCGTTGGGGATATTGGAATGGTTAGGAACAGGCTGCTTCCACCACATCTTGGCGTACACCACTGAGGGACCTCGGAGCTTGGGGCGTTTGGTGGAGGACCTTTCCTGGTCATGGAAAGGCATTCAGTTTATCGATTACTGAACCGAGATCCATGGGATAGGTATCTTCAAGGTCTCGAGGGCATCAACTCATAAAGACACGGGACTATGTAATTCATGCAAGGTTGCTCTTCGTGCTAATAATGGTGATGTTGATGTTGATCTCGAGATCTGGATGCTGTGCCAAGCAATGCGGCCCCTGGAACTCGAACGACCAAGAGAAGAAAGAGCCCCGCACTGTGCGCACCTTCCGCTTCAGTTCTGGCTCCTTGCAGGCTTCTGCTGAGAGCCTGAGACGGATCCTGGTCTGGAATCGAAGTGGCCACTCGTGAATGAGGTACTTGGGTTACTAACTAGAAAGTTAGACTCTTCATACAAGATACGTCAGACTAGCCATGCATTCTGTTAACGCTGTTGAACCATTGTTTCAGTTCTTCTCACCCCCCAGTCGCTTCACCAACGGCTGCTGCTCCAACTTCGACTGTCAATTTCTTGCCACTTTTGCAACATCGCAAGACGTTCAGGTTCCTCGTTTTTTCTCCCATCCTTTGGCTGGGTTCTATCATCCGTCGGTTGCTAGTTTGGTTCGTCAGATCTAAGTGAAAGTCTTACGTCGCTGCGCTGCACTGCGTCCGGCCTGCGGGTGATAGGTTCGTCTGTTGGTCCAACCGCCCACCCGCCACTTCTAGCTTCTTCACCGCGACGAAAACGACGGCAATAAACCTAAACACCACTACCCTTACCAAACGAACCTAGACATCCGAGTCTACCTACTGGTTGATCCACTGAAGTGGTTACCTATCAGACCTACCTTGCCGATTTTGCCTGTACAGAGTATAGTATTAGCCACAGCCGCCCAACCTTGGCTTCTTGGATTGCTTGGCCTTTGCAGTCCGCCTTCCGTGACAACCTGACAGCGTGAGATTCCCAAAGCGGGGGGCCGACCACACACCAGTCACCAAGAGCAGCACAGCCTCACCACCTCCGGGCGCTCAAGAGTCCCTCTAGCTTCCATCTACCACCTACTGCCACCTACAGAAATCCATCCACCCTGCCGCATCCATTTCGTTGCCAGTGACTGCGCGTTCTCGTCGACAACGTCAGCGTCCATCCATCGCAAAAAGCGTTGGCCCTTTTGCATCAATCAATCAGCCTGCTTGCTACATACCATCGTCGACCCGTCCTCCTATCCCCGCCCCGCCTGCATCCAGCCGAGAGTCCTCGATCCCAAACGAGCGAGACCGACCGACGACCCGACCCGATTGCGACCAGCCTCTGCTTGGTCTAAGAGACGAGAAGAAAACAAAAGCCCCGCGTGCGAGTTTGTTGACGCGCTCCATCTGCGACAATGACCAGCAGCCGGGACTCGGGGCTGCCGGCGTAAGTCCTCCCACGACTAGACCCTCCATCTACCCATCTTATCTGCTTCGCGTCACCCTCAGGGACACCGGATCATAAGAGAGAACAGCCAGCTAACGACCTCCACGATTACAGCCAGCCCAACCTTCGCGTAACAAGTAACCAGCCCCTGTGCGATGAATGCGTCCGATGGCAAACCGGTGTACTAACATGCCCATCTAGTCATCGCTGCCGATGGTCTATACAAGCGAGATGTCTTCAGTATGTTTCTCCCGTGGCCATTTGTCACGAACCTTCTAAGCCACTTCCAGGCGGCATGTGCTAACCGCATCGTCATCACAGGGTTTCCCGACCCGTTCGCCGTCGCTACCATCAACGGTGAGCAGACAAAGACCACCCAGGTCTCCAAGCGCACCTTGAACCCATACTGGAACGAACATTTTGACTTGTAGGTTCGGCCTACCTCGGATGTGACCGCTCAAGGATGAGCTGGCTAATAGAACGTAGCAAAGTGAATGAGGACAGCATCTTGGCTGTCCAAGTGTTCGACCAAAAGAAGTTCAAGAAGAAGGACCAAGGTTTCCTCGGTGTCATCAATGTCCGGATAGGGGACGTGATAGAATTGGCTCCCGATGCTGAAGGTAAGGTTTTGCTGCAATTCACCTGTGTTTGCAGATTGACAGCGCGAGTTCGGACTAACATGCATCGCACCCACAGATCAGATGCTCACGCGGGACCTTAAGAAATCGACCGACAACCTTGTGGTGCATGGCAAACTTATCATTAACCTATCTACTAACCTTACAGCAACTATGAGTCGTCTCGGTCCCCCTCCATCTTCGAGCAGGCCATCACTACTTACCCCTCAAAGTTCAGTTATTTCTAACGACAGAGCGAACGAACGCCCTTCATCAGCCATGTCCGGACCTAATGGAACCGCCAATAACCAAATGAATTTGGCAAGCCGACCCGTTAGCGTGGCTGTTTCGTCGTCGTCGACAGCCCCGGCCCCCGGTACAAATGGAACAGCCCCAACGAACCCGTCGACCCTCGTTCCAGCGCAAGCCCGGCACCATAGCACGCTCAGCCCCTTCGAAGATTCAATGGGAAGATTGCCAGCTGGCTGGGAACGTCGCGAGGATCATTTGGGGAGGACATATTATGTTGATCATAATTCACGGACCACGAGCTGGAATCGGCCAACTGGCACAGGGGCGGCCGAAAATCGTACCGCCGAAGCCAACACTCAAGTCGAGCGTCAACGGCATCAGAACAGAACACTTCCCGAGGAACGCGGTGGCGCCAATTCCCCCACCCTACAGCAGCAGCAAGCTGCCGCCACCGCCAATGCTGCCACTATGATGCATACCGGGGCGACAACCCCCGGAACCGGCGAGTTGCCTGCTGGTTGGGAGCAGAGGTTTACCCCTGAAGGAAGAGCGTACTTTGTCGACCACAACACGCGCACTACTACCTGGGTCGACCCTCGACGCCAGCAGTACATCCGCATGTACGGTGGACAGAACAACACGAACGGCACCATCCAACAACAGCCGGTATCGCAGCTCGGTGCCCTGCCTAGTGGTTGGGAGATGCGGCTCACTAACACGGCTCGCGTTTACTTTGTGGATCACAATACCAAGACAACGACCTGGGATGATCCTCGTCTGCCTTCGTCGCTCGACCAGAACGTACCACAGTACAAGAGAGACTTCAGGAGGAAGCTCATCTATTTCCGTTCGCAGCCCGCTATGCGGATCATGTCCGGGCAATGCCACATCAAAGTCAGGAGATCGCATATTTTCGAGGATTCGTTCGCGGAGATTTCGAGGCAATCGGCGACCGACCTGAAGAAACGGTTGATGATCAAGTTCGACGGCGAGGACGGTCTCGATTACGGCGGTCTGTCGCGCGAGTTCTTCTTCCTCCTTTCTCACGAGATGTTCAACCCCTTCTACTGCTTGTTCGAGTACTCGGCGCACGATAACTACACCCTCCAGATCAATCCCCACTCGGGCATCAACCCTGAGCATCTCAACTACTTCAAGTTTATTGGTCGGGTTGTGGGTCTGGCTATCTTCCACAGGCGATTCCTGGATGCCTTCTTTATTGGCGCTCTGTACAAGATGGTTCTCGGAAAGGCTGTCAGCTTGGCGGATATGGAGGGCGTGGATGCCGATTTCCATCGGTCTCTGCAGTGGATGCTGGATAACGACATCACCGACGTTCTTGACGCGACTTTCTCTACTGAAGACGAGCGGTTCGGTGTGATCACGGAGGAGGATCTTATCCCTGATGGTAGGAACATTGCGGTAACGAACGAGAACAAGAAGGAGTACGTCGATTTGATGGTGAAGTGGAGGATCGAAAAGCGCATTGAGCAACAGTTCCAGGCGTTCAAGGAGGGCTTCCATGAGCTTATCCCGCAGGATCTGATCAACGTGTTCGATGAGCGCGAGCTTGAGTTGTTGATTGGTGGTATTGCCGATATCGATGTCGACGACTGGAAGAAGCACACGGATTACCGTGGTTACACCGAGTCCGACGAGGTTATCCAGTTCTTCTGGCAGACTGTTCGGGCGTGGGATGGCGAGCAGAAGTCCAGGTTGCTCCAGTTCACGACGGGTACATCTCGTATTCCGGTCAACGGCTTCAAGGATCTCCAGGGTAGCGATGGTCCTCGCAGATTCACGATTGAGAAGGCGGGAGAGATTACGAATCTTCCCAAGGCGCATACATGGTACGTATAAGAGAAGATGAAGACATGACGACGAACCTTAGCTAACCGGCTTTTTTCAGCTTCAACCGTTTGGATCTGCCACCATACAAATCTCTGGAGATGCTGCAGCAAAAGCTTACCCTTGCTGTGGAGGAGACTATGGGTTTCGGCCAAGAGTAAAACGACAAAAAAAGGGTGATATGTTATGGGCAGGGATGAATATGGTGAATGTGATATGGTGGCATGGCTGCGATGGCTGCATGAAGGAAAGAACGATACTGCTACACTAGTATTGGGTGGCATGCGTCGAATTATGATAGCATCACTTTTTTTTCCTTATCAGTCTATTCTTCCAACCTTGTTTGATTTCTTTTTTCTCTGTTTGGTGCGTAGTTCATTGGCGCCGGAGACTATTATTGTTACCTCGCCCCTCCCCGGTGCACAAGAGCTGTATATAGATGGATTGTTTGTTGTTATTGATCCTTCAAGTAGTGAGCTTCAGCATCCTGCTACTTGTATACGTTGAAGTTTGTTGGTGTTATGGGATTAGGCAATGCCAGGTTCGTGTGTACAACTACTACCCGGGAGAAAAAGAGGAGGGCGTGTGGTTCATGTTTGCGATTCAGGAACCAGGAGATAGGCTATAAATCTAGAGTCATGATAAGGATTCCCCGTAACGGATCCATCCAATATACGTCATATCACGAAGGAAGATCAGTACTTGCTAACCAGTCAAAGTCAATGGCGCAGATCCTCTCGGCTGTAGAAGTTTATCTTTGTTCTGTCAACTATATCCGCTCCTTGACGTTTGACTCGCATGAAGACGTTGCCGCTCCGGCAGTCCGGATAATGTTCGCCGCCGGTGTGGGGGTTCCTGCATTATCGCACGCCAGATAGCCGGAAATCTGGGTACATGATAGTGACATCGGGGCAAATATTGTTCTTTTCACTATTTTAGTCCGAACTATCGAGAAAGATATACTGCAAACTATAACTCCCAGCTCCCATGTGAGGGGAATATCATATATTTTCATCTTCATTCACCTTCTTTATCTCTCAGTTGCGAAAAGTTGCCGCAAACAGAGAGCGCGAGGTGACCATAACCACCAAAGTACCAAGACCCGAGATCGGGAACCTACATTTCTTACGTCACCACCAAGAAACACTTCCACTTGAACTGTTCACCAAACCCATACACACACACACCCTCAGAGAAAGACAAGAAAAAGCAAATGGCACCACCACCAAACTCCCGCTCCCCGGGAGTCCTCTACTGGGGCCCCCGCCTCTTCCTAGGCTCCTTAGCCATCGCCTTCCTCATCCACCTCAACCACCCCGCCTCATCCTTCTCCCTCTCTTCCCTCTTCAGTCCCAACTCCGAGTCTGCCATCACCGCAATAACCTACTGCTACACCTCCATCCTCACCTCCGCCGGCTCTTCTAGCGAAGCCGACTGCTTCTCCATTTCCCCCGATGGCAAGTTTACGAAAGTGTTTCACTCGGCTGAGGATGTTTTGGTTGTCGGGGATAATGACAACAATGAGGGAGGGGGTATGGGAGGTAGTAGTGCGGTGGTGGAGATGAAAGAGGGACATGTGATCCCCGGGATTTGGGATGGCCATGGACATCTGATTCAGTATGGAGAGTTTTTGCATTCGGTGGATTTGTTTGGAGCTAGTAGTGTGGAAATGGTGAGGGAGAGGGTGAGGGGGTATTTGAAGGAGAGGGGAGGGGAGGGGAGTGATGTGGGGAGTAAGGAAAACTGGTAAGTTATTGAGTTGTGGGGGAGTGAGTGAGTTGAGAGTGAGGGGGGAGAGTGGGCGAGGGAGGGGGAGAGGAGTATAGGGTGTTGTGGGGGATGATCATCATCAGGTTGACTGGATGGCTAACTTTGATAAATAGGGCGAGAGGTGTTGGTTGGGACCAGATGGTGTTGGGAGAGATGCCTAGTGCTGTGAGTATCTGTCGTGTTTCGGGAAAAAAAAAAAAAAAAAGATTGCTAACAAATTCATAGGCCATGCTCGAGTCTGACCCAGCTCTAAAGGGCAAATACATCATGCTTGACCGGGTCGACGTGCACTGCACCTGGGTCTCGCAGGCCATTCTGGATCTTATCCCTCCCGAGTCCCTCCCCGAGGACGTCCCCGGTGGCGAGATCATCCGGGAGCCGGGCATGGGCGTGTTCTGCGACAACGCCATGGACATCATCACCTCACTATGGCCCAAGCCCGACGCCGAGCGCAAGAAGACCTTCCTCAAGTCAGCCATGAAGGAGCTGCACAAGGTCGGACTAGTCGGCATGAACGACGCCGGCGTGACGCCGACCGACCTGAAGGTGTATGAAGAAGCCAGCCGGAACGAAGACTGGTGGACTCTCCGTGTCTACGCCATGATCGAGTGCGGCGAGCGCAACGTCTTCTGCCCGCTCAAGGCCGACTCCGTCAAAACCCAGCACGAAGACGGCATGCTCACCATCCGCAGCGTCAAGCTCTTCGCCGACGGCGCCTTGGGATCCTGGGGCAGCGCCATGATCGACCCTTACTCCGACAAACCCTCCACGCGCGGCTCCCTGCTCGTTAACGGCTCAACCCTCGAGTCTCTCGCCCGCTCCTGGTCCAACGCAGGGTACCAAGTCAACATCCACGCCATCGGCGACCTAGCCAACCGATACGCCATCGACGCGCTCGAAGCCGCTCTCAAAGACTCTTGCCCCAAGGGCACGTCGCTCAAAGACTGCCAAAACCAATCCCACCGCTTCCGCATCGAACACAGCCAAATCATCCACCCCACCGACCAAGCCCGCATCCGCGACCTAGGCATCATCCCCTCCATCCAGCCCACGCACGCCACCTCGGACATGGCCTACGCTGAGTCCCGACTGGGTCCCGAGCGCACGCGGACCGAAGCCTACCGCATGCGCAGCTTGATCCACGAACTTAAAGTCCAGCCTGTTTTGGGGTCCGATTTCCCCGTTGAGCCGCCGAACCCGTTCGAGGGGATGTACGCGGCCGTGACGAGGAAGAATCCGCATACTGGCAAGGGAGTTGATGGCGATAACAAAGGATGGTACGAGGAGGAGGCGTTGAGTCTTGAGGAGGCGCTTGCAGGGTTTACCGAGGGAGTGGCGGGCGGGATGTTTACGGAGGGGAAGACGGGGGTTATTAGGGAGGGGGCGTTTGCCGATTGGGTGGTGCTTGATGAGCCGTTGGAGGTGTTGGCTGCTAGGGAGGGTGGGGAGGGGCTGAGGAAGATTAAGGTGAGGGAGACATGGGTTGGGGGGAGGAAGGTTTATGATCGGGAGGAGGAGGCGAGTGAGAAGGTGGTGAATGGTGGGGAGGAGGGGGTGAGGGAGGATTTGTGAAGGGTTTGTGAAGGGTTTGTGAAAACAAGATGAAGAGGATGGTGAAAAAAAAGGTTAAGTTTGTATAAACGAAGGAATATGGTATGGATGCTATGGATATGACATGATGATACACGATGGGATACACGACCGGATACAAGACGGGATATACAACAGCTATGGACCTAGACTAGAACGTAGAGGTTTTCGTCGATTTAGACTGGTTCCTAGACCCCACTCACTTCAGGGTCTCTTCACTTTCTGTTCTGACTGTTCCTTCAGCTTCTCACACATGGATGTTATTTTTCTTTCTTCTTTACAGTTCAAGTTATGAGTTTTTTTCTTCTCGCCCATCGTTCCCCGATCTATGAGGATGAATAAAGCTGCTTGAACACAGTGGGGTCCAACAGCGCCAATTAACCGAATAAGAAACTCGCTTGCAATCCGTATAGACACTATTGAGTTGACATTTGCAGCTTCAATCTCCCATCATTAGTCATATCACATTAACCACACCTGTCATGGCCATATATCCCCCGTCCCTAAGCAGCAAACACCTGGATCTTCTTAATTCTCTCCTTCGCCTGCTCCCTCAACTCCCTAACAATATCGCCAGCCGGCTTCTGGTCCTTTACCAGACCCACAGCAGTTCCGCTGTACGTAATATTCCAGTTAGCAACCATCATACATCCAATCTTATTGCAGAGTAAAAAGGAAGAAAAAGAAACACATACGCCCAAGTCACAGTCCGCGAGTTATCCCCAGAGCTCGCCGCCTCCTTGAACTTCTTGTGGTTCTCTTCAAAGGGGAGACCGGCGGCGTGGTCATCGTAAGAGGCGCCGCGGACGGCTCGACCGTCGTAGACGTTGTGCCAGATTGTGGTGCTGTTGATTTGGTCGTGGAATTGGGATCTGGTGATTGGGTTGTCAGTGGGGCTGTTGGTTTACTTGATGATTCAGAGTGTGACTAACTTGACGGTATTGAGACCACCATCGTTTGTCTCGAGGATGAGCTTCCTGCGGAACTCAGGGGTGGCAGCTTCGGTTGCTACGATGAACTGAAGGGGGGCTTGTCAGTATTGTCTCCCATCTAGAGGGGGGGGATCTGGTGAAGAACTTACTCTTGTACCCAACACCACACCCTCAGCGCCTATTAACCAAATTCCACTGTTAGCACATCACACCTCCTCATCTCTCCATCTCAACCCATTCTCATCCCCATCTTCTTCACCACCCCTCAAGAAAAAGAAAACTCACCAAGACCAAGCGCCCCCACAACCCCCCTCCCATCCGCCACACCCCCCGCCGCCACAACCACCACCTCCCTCCCCGCAAACTCCCTATCAATCATATCCCTCATCTCCGGCACCAATGACACAATCCCACTCCCCTTAGCAACCTGATGACCCCCCGCATCTATTCCTTGCGCCACAATCACATCCGCTCCATCTGCCACCGCCTTCCTCGCATCTTTGACCGTGCCCACCTGGAAGAACACCACGAACCCCGCAGCGTGAAGAGCCTCGATGATTTGCTTCGCCGTTCCCTTTGCTGCCGGCCCCTCATCGGAGGAGTGAGCGGCTTCGAAGTCAGGGTCGTTGGCGAAGAGCCAGACGGCTTGGGGGGAGTGTTCGATCAAGATGGGTAGGACGGTGTCGACGAAGTGCGGGACGGAGATGGTATGAGTCAAAATGAAGCCGACGCCGATGGCGGGGAGGGGGGTGAGGGGGCGGTCGGAGAGACCTAGGGCCTGGCGCGCGAGGGAGAGTTCGGAGGAGAGGGTGGTTAGTTGGGAGGAGCCGGGGCGGAAGTCGAAGCCGGCGGCGACGAAGCCTGTTGTTTGGTGTTAGTAATTTGGAGCAGAGATGAGAGGAGATGAGGTGAAGTGAGATGAAATAAGGGATTGGTAGTGGGAATTGGATGGATGAAGGGGGACAACGAACCAATGCCGCCTGCCTTGGATACCTCGGCCGCAAGAGTGCCGTTGGCGATGAGGTACATGGGGGCGCTGATGATGACGGGGTTCTTGGTGGTGGGGAACCAAGAGTTGAGCTTGGTGAGGGCCGTCTGAGCGGACTCCTCCTTCTTCTTGCTGTGGCCTGGGAAGTGCAGGGGCATGTTGACTGGTTTGTTTGTTTGTTGATTCTGATATCAAGTGTCTTTGGTGTTGTTGTTATGGTGAGACTGAAGATGAATGATGTAGAACAGAGCTTCAAGTGAGGTGAGGTGCGGGGTGACTGTAGCTGATATACTCCAACTCGGCGATGAGGTCCGCGGAGGTCGTACTCACACTACAACTTAAAGTGGAGAAGGGTCACTTATATACGACGACGGCCGAGCGCTTTCCGGTCGGTATGTTGAGTGACTTTACAACTTCATCGAAAACTTGTTGTTATACCGAACGATTTCCTGAATGGGATGTTTGATATGGGTCCGGACGTGGGGTGAATTACCGAGGAGAAAGGTGATTCACACTTGCACAGCTCCTTTCCCCGCAAGGCCTCTTCTCGGCCATGTTTGACAAATGAGATCCGAAGCTGTGGACTGAAAGGGACATTGGGATGCAGAGTCCATGCATGACACAAGTAAATATTATGTAGATCTTTAGCATGAGACGGCAATATCAGTTTGCGGAAAGTCGCGATCAAAGGTGAACGTATGATACTGTCTGATTTGTATCAATGATCATATGAATCTATCCTGCTAGATGACGTTGTGGGTCTGGTAGCCCTATTCCGCTGTCCTATTCAATGCTGTCCTTTGAGCCATCCAATGCCTTTGAAAAACGTGAAACGTATTGCAGCATATGAGCTGCTATATATCATTGTCGAGAGTTTCATAACTCCCGTATCCCTTCGGCCCTTGGCATAGGCAGTATACTCTCACCTGCATAAACGCATAAGCATTGGCTGCCATCAGGGCGCCTTTCCCACCATCAAGACCAACAATATCGCGTTGCCGACGCACGCCACTATAAATGTCACCCACACCGCAATCTCTCCTACCATCGAAGGTGTCTGAGACTCGTGCCTCGAATTCCACAAGCACAACGCAGCGACTGCCGTACCCAGCGAGGTAACGATGCCAACTGTCACACCAGCATCTACCTCCAATCTCATCTTATGCCGGCCTGTCATGATCAACATTGTCGCAATACCCATCAGCACAAACGCGACCAGGTAGCAACCCCAAGTGCCCCAGAACAACATTTCATCACGATGATGTGCAATCCGCTGTTGTTCTAGGCTTCGGTAACCAGACTCGGGAAACTCTTCAGAGGATGCATAGCCGTAAGAGCCTCGTCTCTCGGCGCGCCCACGACCGCGGCGGAAGCTGTGTGGAGGCGAGTTTGTGAAGCGATCGCTGACGTTGTCCTCGTCGATGTCGGTGTCGGGGTAGGCAACGCCGGGAGGGTATGTGAAATAACTTGGCGGCGCGAGAGTAGCACCGTAGCGGTCGGTCGACTGGTTTCGCGAGGATCCTAGTAGAGGCTGCTGTTCTGTACTTTCGTTTGTGCGTGTGTCCGGTGTCGGCTCTTGACTACGCCCCATCATTTTCTTCATCGGCGACGAGATCCAGTTTATTATGCTGCTTACACCGGGGAAACTCATCTCTTGATCCGGATTGACATAGATGGCATATTCATCGCAACGGTCGTCGCCGGCTTCACTGCCGTGGTCATATTCATTCCAGTAGCCTGTCGGGGCACCATCCTCGGGAACAATGGTCACGCGTCGTTGTTCCCCAGCGCGGGCCGGGCGGGTTGGCGTGGCGGGCTGGGTGGGCGGAGAGGAACTGCCACTGCGACTCGAATCTCTAGGCGATGCAGCGCGTATCGTCTGTAGTAGGTTGTCGTATTGTGATTGAAGCGGAGAGAAGTCGCGCTTGGTGAAGCTCTTGGGGTTCGCCAGGATGGTTTCCCTGAACCGCGAGCCGAGGGTGGCCGAGCCCGTCCATTTCCGGTACTTCTTTAGAATCTTGCGAAAGGCAACGTTTTGCGCGCTAACAAAGCGCTGGAGGGCGTGGATCTCGTCACCGCATTCTAGTAGTTCTTCTTCGTATTTTGCGAATCGGCGTTGTCTTTTGGACGAAGTGCGTGCTCTCGTAGAGGCGGCGCATCGAACAATCAGGGCGTGTATTTGATTGGATAAGTGTTCTGGCGAGGTCATACCAACATGTTAGTGATTTGCTACTCCTGACGAGCAGTGTGACGAGATAACATACGAAGACGGCGCGCTATCTCATCCGCCTTGCTTGATACAAACAGGTCGACACGATCATGTTGTCGGCAAAGCTCGTTGTAGAGGTCGTCTTCAAACTTTGAGAGTGCGGCGCCTTGGTGGCCTGGAATGGCAATCGCGGTGCCCTGGGACCTGGTGGTGTGCGCCTTGATGTAATGTTTTAGCGAACTGTAGTCAATGTTATCTGTTCGGTAAGGTAAAGATCAGCAGGCACTCCTTGGTAAGATATGGTACAGTTATCACGGGACAAGACGGAAAAAAGGACATACGGATTCGCCATTGGGGGACAGATTCCCTGTCAAACTGCTCCCCGAACTTCATTCCTCGTAGAAGTGGTGGTAGTGGTGGTAGGTTGTAGGAGTGTTAAGATTGGCACTTGTAATGCACGTATTGAGATGGAGGGTATCCCGTCTTGGGAGTGGTTACACCCGGTGGCGTCAATGTACGAGATTAACCGGTCTGTTGGGACGTAATGGTTGTATGTCTCAAAAACCTGCTTCTCCTTTGTGTTTTGTCTTTGACCAGAATCGACGCCAAGCGCAATGCAAAAAGGCCGGAAATCTGTAATGACGATGTTGTTGGAGGGAGGCAAGCGGTTATATGCACAGATAGAGAGGTACAACTGTCGGTCGGGATTCAGCAGCGTTTCTTGCACCAACGGCACTTGGCAATGACGAAAGTATGGGATAAGAGCTTTGATCGCTGGCGGATACCGTCGGGGGAATGGGGACTGGAGAGCCAAGGGTGTTGACTGTTTGAGGCCGTAGGCGTGGTAAGGGCACCCGGGGACCGTGTGGGCTTGGAAGAAGACGGTGAAGTTTCAACCAAGCGATCAACACACACTCCAGGTTCGTTTCGGATTGCTGGAGACTGGGAGTCGCTAATCTTCGTGGAGATGCTAGAGTGGTCTAGAGTGGCTGACCAACTGGTGACTTGTTGGTCAAGCTTAGTCTTTAGTGTGAACGTCAAAAGAAGGGTTCAAAGAACTGGCGGGGAGCAGAAAGAGACAAAAATGAAGACGGAACTGTCAAACTTTGAAAAAGAGAAGAAAGGAAGAAACTGTGAAAGAGCCTAGCAATTTTGAGACAAGCGGACAAGATAAAACTGGAGTCACAAGCTGAAGAGAACTTGAAGGAGAAAGCCAAGGAATCAAAAACAGGAAGAGCCAATGCGAAGATCCAATGCGCTAGCGCCGAGAGGAACCGCCTTCCAGTCGAGCTTTCTCAGTGGGTCTTTCCGCCAGGACGCAGGGGAGGAAGACAAAGTTCAGGGGTGTCGCTGACGGTTTTTCGGTGGAACCCGAGGCTCTTTACGACGTAGCAAAAGTGGAGGTGGTTGCAACTGATTTTTGTCAAATTGTTTTTCATTGGATCCTTCTCAACCATGCCCGTTTTCGAGCTTCCTTTCTGCGAACCGGTTTCGTTATCTTTCAGGAACTTGCTTCAACTCCTTGTCTCCCGTCTTTACCGAACCGAAGATGGTCTTTGATTGGTACGGTTCCTTGAAAGTTCCACCGTGGTCTAGATCCATCGGCCCTGTCATAATTCAGTAAACAGGCACGTGCTCGCTGGCCCGTCTTGTCGCCGGCAAGCTATCCTCGGGAGGGCACGCGACCAAGATCTGGAGATATTCGATAGCCAACAAGCGACTGGCACAGCAGTGTCACATCGTTTTGTCGTCTGTGTGTTTACCTTATCCACAAGCGACGAGGGATCGACCTTCCATGTTGAGGTTTGAGTCTATCACCAACCAACTCGTTTACCTGATCTATTGCAGGAGTTGTTCCGTTCTTCCGTGGTCCTTCCGAAAAAAGCCGATTGAGTTGTCACTAACATACAGCTGCTGAAGCATGCAAGGACGGCTCCCAACAGCGTGGGGTGGGATGACAGACAGGTGCTCTTGACATGTCCTGTTGTGAAGACATGCTGTGGGATCATATAGCGGCTGTCAGTAGAAGGAAGCGGATAGAAAACAACAACAAAAAGAAATCGGCCCGTCCAGATTTTTCACACGGAGATCTCCTTGGTCTGATATATCAACATCTAGCAACTCAAAAGGATTCCCGTCCCTCCATCTCGGCTTATCTTCCAGCTCTCTTAACCAAACAGTGCGCGATCTGCAGTCATTACGAGCCAACCGAAACTTCTCTCGCGACCTCCTGTACGACTTCGGAAATGTTGCCGTTAAGTTTGCCATTCTAAGGTAGCAACCACACGGCGTCCAGGTACATATGTCGTACTGAGCCAGGAGGCCGCTGACACTTGATGGGTACCTCACCGATGGTTCACAGCAGTGGTGGTTTTCGAACGCCCTCTCGATGAGGGTATATCTACCGCTTCTACTCAGTCGTAAGAGATTTACCAAAGGCGCTAGCTAGGAAAATGGGATAACTTTATTGGATCGATGCCTCATATGCACTAAAGCCGCCTTGCATATGCAGCTTCTCTCACCAAAACTGCCAGGTTTAGTAAATCTCTTACGACTGGGTAAAAGCGGTAGAGCACGCGACACAGAGTGCGACCGAGATGTCACCAACGGCGGCTCTTCGGGACATTTCCCGCGAGTTACATTTAATGGAGGCTTTGACGGTCCAGACTCCTATACAACGCTACCGTCGTATTTCAGAAGAACAAGCATTTTCTCGAAATTTTCACAGACTATACCAGATGTGAGAGTGATGCGGCTTGTGGCGGCATTTTCTTTTGACTTCTGCGTTAGATCTTGCGGACTCTTTCCCCAGTAATTCTCATATACCTAGCATCACTGCCTTTCTACCAAGAGATCCCGTCGTGCTGCTTATGGTCCAGACCACGGGGAAAGAGTCTCGGGAACCACTGAAAAGAGTCTGACAACGTCTGTCGTAGACATGATCTCTTTTCGAAGTTAGAAAGTCAAAGAGCACGAGAAACATACTGCAACGTAGCTGATATGAGACGATACAGTGCCATTCGGTACGAAAAGGATGTTCTTGATTCAACCTACTAAATGCTTGTGTACGAGGATATCTTCTAGCTTTTGAGACAACAGTTCCAGTTATCACCGAATTGAACTGGCGAAAGATGGAAGAGACCACAGGCTGGCAAAGATTCTAGATAAGGAAGTGATGATAAGACAAGCCCTCTGTGGAAGAGGCAACTTGATCACACTTTCAACACATCTCTAGAATTGTTTGCTGGCGTATGTTTTGCTTCAAAAGGTGATTTTTCATTCATCTCCTTTTCGATCTTGTTGTCGAGTAGCGTTTCGCACTGCATGTAGAATAGTGTGTGGTTTGTTTACTTGACGTCGTCACCGATTGTAAGTGTTAAGGCATGCTCGTCTTAAAGCAGTGCACCGCCCTGAAGCTTAACAGCTGGAATAGTGGAGCCTACTTCCATTTCCAGACAGCATGGTCTTCTACCATTGGACAATCCAAGAATAGCCCCACATTCTTTGTGCGGGGACCCTTCCACGCTTCGCCTTTGGACCTTGGAGCACCATGGCAGAAAAATTTTTGGTCCATCAATCTCGCCGGCTGGCAAGCAGACATCGCCAGGTCGACTTTTTGTTTTAGCACGGGCAACTGCAACCACGCCCTGCGATTTCCTACAGCCCAGTCAAGCGAAAGGGTTATACATCAGGTCGATTGAACCCTTAAGACACTCGGACGACAAGGCCAGCCTCGAATACCCTAGCCTTGGGCCCGTTTTGCAGCATCACGGCAGTCCGACCCACAGCAAAAAAACAGACATGGCCGGAGCTGGCAGCATAACCTCTTCCGTAACCTCGACATCCCAAACAATCACCCACGACCCCTCCACACACAACAGCGTCATGGCCGCCACCCTCGCCGCATTGTCAAGCGGCACCTCCTCTCGGACAATCGACAGCAACCCTGTCGTCGCCTCCTTCCTCTCGGCCCTGGCCGACGAATCCAACCGCCACGTCTTCCTGCAGCCGCCCTCGACCCTGCCCGCCGGATCCCTCCTGCTCGCCAAGGAGACCCTCGACGCGCTCGCCTCCCAGGTCAGCGACCACCAGCAGGCCAAGCTAAAAGAGATCGCGGCCACCATCGGCGGCAAGAAGCGCAAGCGTGAGGCCGGCTACGACAAGAATGCCGTGCTCAAGATCCGCAAGCTGCACGTCGACGAAGGGTTCGAGACGGAGCAGATCTGGCAGCAGGCTAAGAAGATCATTGCCAGCGCCGTGAAGGAGGCTGGCGATGTGCTGAAGGAGCTGGAGGAGAACGGGATTGTGGGCACCGGCGAGGAACAAGAGAAGACCATTGAGTTCGGAGAAGATGAGTTTGAGCTTGGTTCTGACGAGGAGGATGGTGATGACGAGTCTGGGTCTGGCTCTGAAGGAGAGGATGATGAGGAGGATGATGAAGAACTAGAAGGAGAGGAGGGCAGCGAGATCGATGACGATGAAGAGGTCGAGATCGATGGCGAAGAGGTCGAATTCTCGGACGAAGACGGAGAAGGCGAGTTTGATGAGGAGGACGAGGAGGAAGAGGACGAAGAGGAGGAAGAGGAAGAGGATGCGCCAGAACTCGTCGAAGACCCCAACGGCCTCAACGACGGCTTCTTCTCAATAGACGACTTCAACAGGCAGACACAGTTGTGGGAGGACGCGGATGCGCGCGCGGACCCCAACGTTGATGCCGACAGCGACGACGAACAGCTTGACTGGCATTCCGATCCTTTCGCGACCAAGCCAAAGTCAAAGAAGGGCAAGAGCGACAAGAAGAAGGACGAGAACGAGGACGAGGAAGATGTCGACATGGGCGACGAATCCGAAGACGACGAGGCCCTCGAGGCTGCCGCTGCCGCCCACGCCAAGAAGCTCAAGGGCAAGAAGAACGTGGAGCAGCTCGAGGACGATGGCGACGATCTCGGCCTGACAGATGGTGTTCTCGGTATGGACATGGACCTCACCGCCAACGACGTCTACTACAAGGACTTCTTTGCGCCACCTCAAAAGAAGAAGACCGGCAACCAAAGGAAAGGAGGCTACTTCCCTAAGAAAAAGCTTGAGCAGCCAGACGAGGCCGATATGGAGAGGGCCGAGAACGATGTGCGCCGCGATCTCTTCGACGACCTCTCGGAGAACGAGGATGATGAGGATAAGCTCTCGGATCTTGACGCTGGTGACCCGAGATCTCGTCGGTCCGCCCACGAGCGCAGGCAAGCCAAGATTGCCGAGGAGATCCGCAGGCTCGAGTCCGAGCTCGTCGCCAAGCGCGCCTGGACTCTGTCCGGTGAGGCTTCCGCGCAAGCCCGTCCCATGAACTCGCTGCTGGAGGAGGACCTCGAGTTCGAGCACGTCGGCAAGCCCGTGCCCGTCATCACCGAGGAGGTATCCGAGACGATTGAGGCGCTCATCAAGCGCCGCATTCTCGCCAACGAGTTCGACGAGGTCCTCCGGAGACGTCCCGACACGCTCGGCAACCCCAACAACGCGCGCCGCGGCCTCGTCGAGATCGACGACGCCAAGGGCAAGCAGTCTCTCGCCGAGATCTACGAGGAGGAGCACGTCAAGGAGGCCAACCCGGACGAGTACGTCAGCGCTTCCGACGAGAAGCTCACGCGCGACGAGGCCGAGATCAAGAACATGTGGAAGGACATCTGCGCCAAGCTCGACGCCCTCAGCAGCTGGCACTACAAGCCCAAACCGGCCGCGCCCACCATCAGCGTCGTTACCGACGTCGCTACCGTCGCCATGGAGGACGCCATGCCCACCACCGCCCAGGGTGTCTCGGGTGGCGAGAGCACGCTCGCGCCCCAGGAGGTGTACGCCCCCGGCAAGGACTCGGCCGAGAAGGGCGAGGTCGTGGCCAAGAGCGGTCTGCCCATCGCCAAGGAGGAGATGAGCCGCGAGGAGAAGGCTAGGAGACGCAGACGCGAGAAGGAGCGCATCCGCAAGGCGGGCGGCCTGGATGCTAACAAGAATATTAGCAAGGGCGCCCAGGAACGCAAGGAGACTATGAGCCAGCTCAAGAAGGGCGGTGTCAAGGTTATCAACCGGAAGGGTGAGACGGTTGGTCTGGATGGCAAGAAGATCGCGGAGCAGAAGGGGCCTACGTCGAGTGGTGCTTTTAAGCTGTGATCGGGTTGTTTGTCAACTGTGAGATGGATGTAGGAAGATGATGGATGATACCCTGATGGGTTGGGCGGGCGGGCGGTGTTGGCTAAGGAAGATTCTCTGTTTATCTTGTATGGAATAGGTACATAATTGGGAGTTCAAAAAATTATATGCATGTGTTTGTTATCATCCGGTCGTCAGCCGGTAAACAATGGTTAACTATTCTTGTTTTTACATTGTTGGTGATTATTTGTGTGTCCCTTCCAGTCATAAAGCCTACGCGGTCTCACTTACCTCGTCTGCTCCTCCCTCTCCCCTAACGTTACCAACTCACTGCGACGACCAATTCTACTCCTCTCCAATCTTGCCGCCCAGTCTTCCTCATGCTTTCCTTCAGTCATCCGTCAATCTTCTCCCGCGCCATGTTCTCTCCAATCCCTTTCACCAGATTCCAGTTGGCAATAGACGTCTTGAAAGCTGCCCTCCATTGGACTGCTTAGTCCACAATCGGTCTAACCATCGATGCTCTGCCACATCAGTAAACTTTCACCTCCTATTGCGTTTCCTCGGATTCGAGCTTTCCTTCTCACCCTTGCTATTCATTTTCCATCCAGAGTCCCTCTTCTGCCTAATTTGAGACTATCCGTACCAGACTTCCTTTGTCTTTTGATGAATGAAAAAAAGTGAAAAGAGAGAAGTGAAGAGAGGAGTGAAGTGAGAAGTGAAGAGAGGAGTGAAGTGAGAAGTGAAGAGAGAGAAGTGAAGAAATAGAAATGAAGAGAGATGATGAAGAGAGGCTGAAAAGACGATGAAGCATTCCGTATACAAGCTCTGTAACTGTTCAAAGACCATCTTTTTCATTCAGTTAATAAGACCTAATACTGGACGGACTATCCAGACCTTGATTGGTATCTCCCGACCTCCACCGGCTGTGTCGGTATCTTAGGCTCTTACATCAATCTGTTCACGTTTGAACCCATAAGCATGCAGCTAAGATCGAAGATCGAGTGTTAACGCAGAAAAAGACATAGTTATCATACCTATTTATGGTAAACAGCTAATGAGCCCTTGAATTCCTGAAGACGGTCTGAGGATGTAACTCCATGGATGACAGACTATCCACAATCCTCCCTCGAGTACCGTCATATGGCTGGCGAGGACAGACATGTCATTGAAACCCGTCTTGGAAGTTTGTGGCAAGCATCGGCAAGTTGAGCTCCCAACAAACAGTAGCTTATCATGGACTGTGCAGTTGAAAGATGGCCAGTCTTTCTCAACAGTGTAGACTCGCGCGACGCCTTAATTGTACATATATATATACACCGAAAGTACATAATCACATCCCGAAGCGAAACACAGTACAACTGACCAAAAGTTGTCCAGTTCATGGTGAACTTTTGAGGAAAAGGAGAAAAAGCAAGAAGCCAACTTTGAGCATAATACATCTTGTCTAATTCCACTGAATTTCCTTCCCATGAGCCGCTGTTCTCGAGCTCTTCCGTCCGTCCATCAAGTCTAACCGTGCTGTCTTTCCGGTTTTTGCCAAAACTCGATCTTCTCATCTCATCAAATCCCCTTCACGCTATCCACCCACCACCCTCTTCTTCCATACCAAGAGTTCACCCCCATAGAAGCCCGCAAGCAAGCCAGTAAACTGCGCAATCTACTTGCGATACCACATCCTAGTAATCTTGGTATTCCGCATCTTCCTCTGCAACTGGAAAATGCCATACATAAGCGCCTCACTAGTAGGCGGGCAACCGGGCACGTAGACATCAACGGGGACAATCCGGTCGCAGCCGCGCACGACGCTGTACGAGTAGTGGTAGTAGCCGCCGCCGTTGGCGCACGAGCCCATGCTGATGACCCAGCGCGGGTCGGGCATCTGGTCGTACACCTGGCGCAGGGCGGGGGCCATCTTGTTGGTCAAGGTACCGGCAACAATCATCACGTCCGACTGGCGCGGCGAGGCGCGGAAGATGATGCCCAGCCGATCTTGATCGTACCGCGGGGTCGAGAGGTGCATCATCTCGACGGCGCAGCAGGCGAGACCGAAGGTCATGGGCCAGAGAGAGGATTGCCGGGCCCAGTTGACGATACTGTCGAGGGTTGTGCTATTGTTGGACACATGTTAGTGTGGGTGCCATGTGGTTGTTGGTTGTGGTGGAGAGATATAGTGATATAGGGGATATCCTTGTCTGGCTGTCATGAACGGGTGTGGAGTTCGTGGAGCCTCGGGTCCTCAATAACGTACAGAGCATATTGAACGGCGCCCTTGGTGCCCTCCTGGCTGGCAAGAGGAACCTCTCTGCGCTCGCGCCTGGCGATGCCGTGCTGTGCGCCAGCGGGGGCGACGGCGCCCGTGGCGTCCTTGCGGGAGGACGAGGAGATGGAAGCGACAGCGGCGGCGCGGAAGGGGACGCTTTGGGCAGTCGGCCGGGCTGTGGATAGTTGGTTTATCGTCAGCTGGAGTTCGTGGGGATTCGTGATGGAGTTGCTGAATGACTCGCGCGCGGACTTCGCAGTGTACAGAAAACCAAAAAAAAAATACAAGAGCAGAGCTTCACCCACCTCGAAGAGCCATTGAGGCGCCTGTCCTCACCGAAGACAACATGTTGGATTATAAATTGTCGCAATGAGAGCGAAGTCTAGGGGAATGGAGTGAGAGGAGAGGGCGGTCCGGACGGGGCAAATGCGCAAACCCAAGATCGCAATGATATCGACGTTCGTCCCGCTCTGCGGTTACACAGCGAGCCTCCGACTCTCAGTTCAGTTACAGTGATGCTGCGGCTTAGCTAAGTTGTCCGCCGCGGCATTTGCCTCCACACAACGACCCACTTTGTGGCGTCGAATAAGGCTGGGGTTTTTGAGGACTGAGAAAAGCTGACTTTCCATTGGTCAGAGCATGTCCCAAGCTCTTTGCTCTTTCTGGGGAAGTTGGAGCAGCAGGGAAACTCCAAGGGGCTTCTGAGAAGGACTCCTCCCTTTCCGCGCTGGATGACCATGTCATCTAAGATCTTTGCATGAGCGCAATGCATCTGATATATCTCGCCAAATCTTGATGAGGTCATCCTTAGTCTGGATGGTTGATAAGGACACACGCCTATCTCAGTCATTGGGTTCCTCATTGAGCCTAAGCAGTGTCATCCTGGTCTCAAGGGTCTAAATACGCTAAGCAATGCCAAGATCTGGTGATAGCTTCATTGTCGCTGTTCACTTTATACATGTAGATAGCATCCGACAGAGAACCATAACGTTATTGATCGCATCACCCACCGATGGTGAAAAAACAACCAAAAAAAAGTGCAAAAAGAGGAGACAAGAGCAGGAATCGAACGGCTGACGTCACGTAAACTGGAAGGGAGTAGAAGAGCCCTATTTGCGTAGCCCGAAGACGCCAGCTTACAGTGCTTCCAGGGAGTGTCTCCCCCGCCATTAAGGCCCCCGTTGGGTTACTAGGCGGCGGGGGGCTCTGTCCCTGGCATGCGGCGCGCAACCCTCCATGTGCAAAGAGAGCTCAGCGCACCACACCGCTCGACCACGAAGCCACTCGTCAGTTGGTTGAATACTTGTCAACTTGGGGTTATTTATGAACCCCAAGTCTGAGGTCCCGCATGCATGCATTTTGGGGTTTGAAGACAATTTGGTATTTCATAGCCTCAGTGGTCAAAGATGTTGCTGCAATCATCAACAACCAACATGGCAAATGATACAGAATGCGCGCCAACACCTTCCTCCTAGTTTTCCTCCCGCCCAATAACGCCTGCAAATAACAATTTGGTCGTGATATCGCCTTAGCCTAGTAGAAAAAGAGTTATACCAGCTATCTCTTTCTGAAAAAAACAAAAGGCCACCACCTGGCCATCATCTGTCCGTTATAAGACTCAAGCCATTCTCTTGTCCGTGTCGACCGACGCGTTTTCGCCAAGGTCTGGGTTGAGATAGTTGGCGTCTTCGGCAGCCTCGTAGTCGGCAATGAGGTCCATGACGACCTCCCTGGCTTCGTCAAACTCGTTGAGGTTTTCGGAAAACGGTGCCGTTTTCTTGTAGGCTTCCATGAAGGCGTTGCGCTTCCGCATACCATCGTACTGCCTGACGATGCGCTTGAAGAGCTGTGTGAAAGAAATGTCAGTTTGGTCATCTACCTAGTCAACACTCCAGCAGTTAACGTACCGTAGCAATACTGGTATGGTTTGCCAACATCAAACCACTGACACGATGTGCCATAGTCACGTAGGGACTCCTCTTGGTCAGCGCCACCTGAATGCTAGCGGGACCCCAAGGGATGAATGTAGCAAGACGACGCTCCCTAATACGGAGCAGACTCTTGTGCACATCGGTTGGGTCCACGTCGCCCTGGATGACGTTCAGGATGGAGATGTAGCAGCTCTTCTTGCCGGGTACAGTAGACACCATGCGATTCTTGGGCTGCAGCAATCGTCTCATCACGTCGAGAACCGTCGTCTTGCGCACCGTCTTAGCCTGCTCCACCTGGTCGCCAGTAAAGGGCGTGTACGACGTCATCAAGAAGTGGCATCGAGGAGTCGGGATCAAGGACGCGAGAATGCTGACCAGGTCGTTGTGCATGTAGCCGGGGTATCGGAGGGTGGTTGTGCTGGCGGACATGACGGTCGATACGAGCTGGTTGGTCTGTTGGAACGAGGGCTCTTGTACGTGTAGTCTGTCGGCGGCAATGTGTGACAAGGCGCCGTTGTCAAGCACCACAACCGAGTCGGCGTTTTGCGTTAACCTCCTCATCGCAAGCAAACTGTTGTAAGGGTGTACGACAACGTCGCCGGCGCTGGTCGTGTCGGGAAATACCGAGTATGTTTGGATGATCTTCTTGGGGAAGCGGTCGTTCAGTCGCTCCAGTAGGAAAGAGCCCAGTCCTGATCCTGTGCCGCCGGCGATCGAATGTAGCATCATGAAACCCTCGAGGGAATCGCTGCCGTCGGCTTCACGCTCAATCATCTCCATGATCTCCTCATGTACCTGCTCGCCTGTCTGGTAACCGTCGCCCCAGTTGTTGCCCGCACCAAGACCGCTCTTGCCCACATAGAAGTTTTCCGGGTTGTAGATGTTTCGGTACGGTCCAGTCTGGATGGTATTGATCACTCGGGGTTCGAGATCGATTAGGATGGACCGGGGAATGTATCGCGTATCGTCGCTCTGGTAAAAGAAGACATCTTTACGGTCGCCGCCTTCGGTCGCAAAGTCCTCGATGGTTCCATCTTGGCTGATGCCGTGTTCCAGACACAGCTGCTGCCAGAACTGGCTTCCGACTTGAGAATGTTAGCGGTTGCGCGTTCAGCTGCCAGTTGTTGAGACGCAAGACTGGGTGAAGGTCGACTGCCTCGTCCGGCTGGATTGGGCACTCACTGCTGTTGCCGCACTGGCCGGCCTGGATGGTTATTATTTCTCTGTTTTCTGGTTAGTGATAGGTCGTTACGAAAAGTTGGCTGTTTGGTCGGGGGCGCGTACCTGGGCATGGTGGTGGCATTAACGAGGCGCGAGACCTCCAGGCGGAAATTGTTGCAATCGGGACAAAAGCGGAGGGAGCGTCGGTAAACACAAGGACGTCAGCAGAGACATCCATGGGCCGGGCTGAGTGGCTGGCTCCCGTCGGCTGGATCCAGCAGTTATAAGGCGCCCCAGATTGCTAACCCTGTCAGGTATAGCTTCTGCAATTTAAGGGCCGTGCCTGCATGTCTACTCCAACCTAAGGTAAACAGCAGTCCAGGTGCGACGGGACCTCCTCCAGCGCCTTTGTTTAGCGGAGCATTGCGCTACCTTGCAACGTGACGGGACGGGATCCTTCGTCTCACCACTTTGACCGAAACAAACACACGACACAGGCAGGCATCTTGCACGTTTTCCCCTCATATAACGGGGAATGTTGACGTAGAAGAGAGGTAACGGTCAAGATATCAGATAGAATACAGAGGTAGAGTAGTTGACAGAATGAAGATACTGCTCTTGGCTCACTCATTCAACGTTACGCTACAACGGACAATTACCGTACCGGACGATAACAGTAACAGACGCGCGCCAAGGAATAACAACAACTTCCAAGTTTGACCTCTCTCCTGCCCCTTTTTGCGCCTACCTGTTTACGGGGATGCCCGCTGAGGTGTGTAGTACTAACAGTTGGCACCTTGCTTCAATCCTCAACGTCACCTTGTCATCTTTGGTTTCTCTACTTCGACCTCCCCCTACTAAGTACCGACTGTATCTGCGAACTTCACCTTGGGAGGTAGCCAGGGAATAATCACCTTTCCTACTAGCCACGCCGCCGTCTGTTCTTTCACCGACCTTGTTGGTTCGACTGGAACCACTCTGCCACTCTCCTCTCGGTCGTTGGCTCGTTCGGCCCCAACCCGACCAGCAATTCCGATCATCGTCTCCAACGAAAAGTTGACCGCCGTCTTCGAGCCCCTGGAGGGTCAAACCGCTTCCCACGATCGGGACGATTTCGACGGATACTTGTGAGCTACGGCATGTTTCGCTACCGAGGATCCTACACCTTCTTCCTTCAAGAAATTGTCCAGGTTTCCCAACATCAACAACAAGAACATACTTCACCAGTCCCCCAGTAGGCTGACCAACCGTCAACCGCCCATCTTCCACCATGGCCGACCCGAACAAATCCAGTTCGACCAGTCTGCCTGTGCCAACAACACATCCGCGCAAAGAGAGTGTTCTGCAATCAGGGACCCTTGAGGAACTACCAACAATCACCCAGGCCCAAGTGTTCGGCGTTCCGTCACCCATCGGCTCCGACCAATTCGACTTCGCAACCAAGGCGAGTTCTCCGAGGACACCGAGAGCTAATGAAAGCCCGTCCGCCCCGGACTACCTGAACGGAGGCCAGCCACACAACGACGGTGTCTCTCCTGTACCCGATCAAGGCCCGCCCGCCTGGCTGCCGCTTCAACATGTCAACGAAACCACTACTCGCTCCTCCGTCCCCTCGACCCTTCCGCCAGCTGGCACAGGCCCTTCCGATGTGCCCTACTCCGAGCGCAGCGTACAGTTTGCCAACAACGATGTCGTCCTCGAACCCCCACCCGTCATACACCACGAGCGTCATGGCTCATGGGATACCAAAGATACCATGAACAGGATCCGAGGGTCCAGCTTCATGACCAAGCTGAAAGAGCTCGCCGGCCCCAGCACCTCGCAGACTTTCAAGTCTGAGATTAACTCTACAGCTAGCTCCCCAACCGTGTCACGCCACCGTCATCCCCGATCAGTCGACGACCGCAGCGACGAAGATGCCGACGCAGAGGAGACTGCCGATGAGAGGGTAGGGGAGCCACAGATTCGACAAAAGAAAAAGAAACGGATTAGGCGGCCAAGGTTCGAATCGTTCTCGACTCCCAACACGCCTCGAATCGAGCAAGAGCCGACCACACCCGGTGGACATGCCCGCTTCGGCTTTATACGCCGTTCCACGTTATCAGATATTGGAGACCGTGGAGGCCTTTCCGAGGGTGAGGGCAGGGATCATATCGCCAGACAGCGCATCAACAGGAGGACGAACTTGTGGATGTCAAACCGGCCGGGTGGTGAGGGCGATGAACTTGAATCTCCCCGTAGGATTGGCCAGCATCTTCGGCGCTTCTCTAACCTCGGCGGTGGGGTTTCTGACGGGGATGCCACTCCGAGGAGGCCCTTTTTCGGAACGGACAGGGCCGCAACTTTTGGTGCTCACAAATGGCGTCAAGTCAAAAGCACCTTGCGTCTGCTGCGGCAGAAGAGGGACGACCAATACGACTACTTCAAATCTGCCGAGCTCATGGCCGAGCTTACCGCAGTTACACCGGCTGTCTTGATGTTTGCCAGCATGATCCAGCGCGACGAACATGGAAACAAAAGAATTCCGGTCCTTCTCGAACAGCTAAGGCTCCGTATCAAGGACAGTGCGCCTCTTCCAGGCAAAGACAGCGAGAGACATGTGCTGTTCACCATTGAGCTCGAGTACGGCAGCGGCCCCAGCCAAATGAAGTGGACGGTCAAACGTCACATAAAGGAGATCATGAACCTCCACTTCAAATACAAGATCAACCCTCCTAAAGACAAGCTCACGATACATCGCCCAGAGGGTGGTGTCAGACCCAAACAGCCAAATTTCCCTATTTCGGCTTTCCCTTACTTGCGCGCAGTAAGAGGCTTGGAGGGCGACGAGGAGGAACAAGAACCACTTGAGCCCCCTCGTATACTCGAGGATCCCGCCGGTGAGGCCACTGCCGGGGAAACGGCTGTTGAGGGCACTGATGTTGAAGAAAATGGCAGGCCGCAGGTACGAAAAAAGAAGTCTCGCATGAGTGCTTTTGGTGGGCGCCGCAAGAATTCGGCCTTGGGTTCAAAGGGTGATCTGAATCAAATAGCTCTTGACGCAGCCGCCAAGAAGAGGAAGTATATCGAACAGCAGCAGAGGATTCTGGAAAAGTATTTGCAAGAGATGGTTCGTTGGCTCATGTTCCGGGCAGACAGCAACCGACTCTGTCGATTCTTGGAGCTTTCTGCTCTTGGAGTCCGCCTTGCTGCCGAGGGAAGCTATCACGGAAAGGAGTGTTACCTCCACATTCAGTCCTCCAAAGGGCTCGATTTCCGGAGGGTCCTGACACCGGGCAAGGTTATTGCTAGGCACAGCAAGAAGTGGTTCCTTGTTCGTCAGAGTTATATCGTTTGTGTCGAATCGCCGGAGAACATGAACATCTACGACGTTTATCTCGTCGACCCCAAGTTCAAGATTGTTTCTAAGAAGGACAAGAACAAACACCTCACCGCAAACGGCAATGAAGGCGAGGAGGATCTCGAGAATTTCGACCCAACCACGGCCAAGAAGTCTAAGTCCTCCAATCACCATACCCTGAAGATCATGACATCTGAGAGGAAGATCAAGCTGTTCTCCTCTAGCCAGCATCTAATACAGCAGTTCGAGGAATCCATTCTGGAGATGCTCAAAAGTACACCATGGCATCAGCAGAATCGCTTTGGAAGCTATGCGCCTGTTCGAACTGGCGTATTCGCCCAATGGCTTGTCGACGGTCGAGACTACATGTGGAACGTCTCAAGAGCCATCAGTATGGCCAAGGATGTTATCTACATTCACGACTGGTGGCTGAGCCCAGAACTGTACATGAGGCGACCCGCTTGTATTAGTCAAAAATGGCGTCTCGATCGTCTACTCCAGAGAAAGGCACAGGAAGGTGTCAAGATTTTCGTCATTGTCTACCGAAATGTCGAAGCCGCAGTTCCGATCGACTCGGAGTACACCAAGTTTTCCCTATTGAACCTCCACCCTAACATCTTTGTTCAAAGATCACCTAACCAGTTCAAGAAGAATCAGTTCTTCTTCGCTCACCACGAAAAGCTGGTTATTGTCGACCACGACATCGCATTTGTCGGCGGTATAGATCTGTGTTTCGGTCGATGGGACACACCGCAGCATCCAGTGACCGATGACAAACCCACCGGATTCGAGCCTGATTCGTACAATCTGCCCAAGGATGCAGAGCATTGCCAAATGTTCCCAGGAAAGGACTACTCAAATCCTCGTGTCCAGGACTTCGTCAGGCTCCATGAGCCATATGAGGAGATGTATGACCGGTCCAAGGTTCCCAGAATGCCGTGGCATGATATCGCCATGCAGGTTGTTGGTCAGCCAGCCAGAGATCTGACCCGCCACTTCGTTCAGAGGTGGAATTATGTGAGACGTGGCCGGAAGCCCACGAGGCCTACACCATTCTTGCTGCCACCTCCTGATTGCAGCGCAGAGGAACTTGAGGCCGCAGGTTTGAATGGAACCTGCGAGGTGCAAATGCTCCGTTCAGCATCGACCTGGTCGATTGGTATCGACGAGACCGAACACAGCATCCAGTCAGCATATGTCAAGATGATTGAGGAGTCTGACCACTTTGTCTACATGGAGAACCAGTTCTTCGTAACCAGCACGGAAACACTGAACGTGAAAATCGTCAATCGTATCGGCGATGCTCTGGTTGAGCGCGCTATCCGTGCGCACGAAAAGGGCGAGGACTGGCGCGCGGTCATTATCATCCCTTTGATGCCAGGCTTCCAAAACGAGGTCAATGATCAAGACGGAACCAGTGTGCGTCTGATTCTGCAGTGTCAGTATCGGAGTATCTGCCGCGGAGAACATTCCATCTTTGGCCGTCTTAGGGCTGCTGGCATTAACCCGGAGGACTACGTCCAGTTCTTCAGTCTGCGTCAATGGGGTAAACTTAAGAACAACACCCTGACGACCGAACAACTCTACATCCATGCCAAGTGTATCATTGTCGATGACCGTATTGCCTTGATCGGATCAGCCAACATCAATGAGCGGTCTATGCTTGGCAATCGTGATTCGGAATGTGCGGCGGTTGTTCGTGACACTGACATGATTTGGTCCACCATGGGTGGGAAGCCTTACCAGGTTGGCCGTTTTGCTCACACCCTGCGTCTCCGACTGATGAGGGAACACTTGGGCTTGGATGTCGATGAGATTCAAGAGGAAGAACGTCAAGCAGAGCTTGACGAGGCCGAAGCAAGAGCTGAGATGGAACAGCGCACGGAACACCACATGGAGCATCCGAACTTGGAACATCGCGACTTCAATGACGACTCAGAAGATTCCATGGTCCCTGAGAGCTCGTCCAGGAGACGGAGGTCATCGCATATGTCGTCTCATATACTACCGAGCACGCCGCCGCCGCCGCAACTCCCTCGTCATAGAGCGCATAGTTTCAATCATGACGTTGAGATGCAGGAACTCCCAAGGCCGGACTCCAAGGGCAAATCTGTTGCCGGCAGAGAAGGGCATGGGCATGGGCATGTTGATGAGAGGCACAGAAGGGACGTGGAAGGACTGGGACCTGATCATTGGAAGCTTGCGCAAATGCAAGGTACCGATGAGGGCAGAGACTCTGTCGTAGTGAATGGCCGTGAAGTGCTGGTCCACGATATCGCTGCGGAGGGCAGAGGTACTCTCGACAGCCCGCATGAGCCCCACGAGCTTCACATTCGGCCTCACGATGCTGCCTCTCTTTCTGGAAGCATCGGCAACGAGTATATGCCGCCAATGCCGCCGTTTAATAGACGGACTACGGAGCAACTTGGTCTTCCCAGAGCCAACCAATTGCCTGTCTTGCCTGTTGTGGACGATACTGACATTGGTGGACCGCCTGTTCAGATCACAGAAAATGGGACTCTGTCTCACAGCCAGATCGCCATGAACATCGAGCTCGCCAACATTGACAAAGACTGCATGCGTGATCCTCTCAATCCAAACTTCTATGATGATGTTTGGTCTCGCGTCGCTGAGAATAACACCAAGATTTTCCGCCGCGTCTTCCACACCATGCCAGATTCTGCCGTAACGAACTGGGCCGAGTACAAGGAGTTCAAGGCTAACGAGCGGGAGTTCAAGAAGCAGTTCGAAGGTGGCAAGACGAGCGAGGAAGTCAATGAGAAAAACGGAGTGGCTGCTGAGCATGCGCAGACCAGTGCCGGGGCCGGTATCGGCGCACCTGGTCCAGCTCAGCTCACCAAGAGCTTGACGGAGAAGCTGGTCACTCCTGTCTCCAAGCTTAGCGGCGGTGGTGACATGGGCGCTCGGGAACGCACCGGGTCAACCACTACCTTGGACGAGAATGGAGCCACGAAGGACCACGCCCGCAAGGCTCAGACCTTTCCACTCGACGCTGAGAAGGTCGCGATGTTGGCGGCATCGCAGAACAGCGGCGAACGCCCGCCCACAGCAACGCCCAAAGACAGCGCTGATTCGAACCACAACGACACCAGCGGTGGCTCCACCACAACCATGGCCGACAACAGCAACGCGATCCCCAACACCAACGGCAGCGCCGCCGCAGTGTCCTCCGATAACACAGCAACCGCATCTGCGACGGGTGTCACAGGTGGTGCTGGTGTCAAGCCAGCCGCCTCTACCAGGCAGCAGCGTCGTAGGGCGAACACTGGCCGTAGTAAACGCGGGTACAATCCTTTCGACGCGCAGACTCTAAACCCGGCAGAGGCCGAGGAGACGCTGAGGCTGACCCAGGGCACGTTGGTCCAGTTTCCGTATGACTGGCTGGTTACGGAGGAGAATAACGGGAATTGGTTGTTCCAGGTTGATCAAGTGGCGCCGTTGCAGATTTAGTAAGTTTCTTGGCCCGTGATGGACGAAATGCGTGAGTGATCAAGGCTAACCATGGTTGTTTTTTAGTAACTAAATCTTTTATTGTCCTGCTACTCAACGGTGGTGGACTTCCCAGCCGACAGCCGGAATCCAACAAAAACATATATGCTTCCTCCTCCTGTTCTCACATACTCACCTACCGTTCCATTCAGTTCTCCCTTCACCTCTGTTTTACTCCATATACGCAATAACATATAATCGGGGCGGAAGATACACAAAACGAACTCATATGTAGTAACATTCAAGTATTCATGGCAAGGCGTTGTTGGTTTGTTTGGTGGGTAACATATCTTACATTTTCCTTTGGGTTTCCCCCTTTTTGGTCGGAAATCGGTGGCACCTTTTTGCATTTCTCGAGTTATTCATCCTTCTCAGCTATCTATTATTACTATTACTATTGTCAAGGTGTTCACACAAGGTCTCGCGTACCCGCAGGCAGTATGTATATCTCTTTAATTATACAATGTAGTATACTTAGTACCTAGGCAGTTCATTTTTCTTATTTGAATCCATGACTGGGTACTTGTCACGGTCTCGGAGCGCCTCCTGATTTTAGTCAGACAGGCTGAAGATCTTGGACATTACCTGCAATTATAGTACAAACGCATCTTGGAGGCCAAAGGGATGTTCAATAATGCTCGTGTAAATCGTTCACACGACATGGCACGCTACGCTGTGGATAACACCCAACAAAACAAAGACATTAATGGAGGCGAGTTTACACACATGCTGGCATATGCAAGGAGGTAAGGTATTCTCAAAGCTTTTTATTCATAATTTTGCCGTAACCAATGTAGGGCTCAGGTTACCTCTACGCTTGTTCCCAGCCTGCCTGACCAACCTTTCGCTCATAACAGCCAAGCAAATGGAAGCCGAGCCAAGACGACCAAAAGCTTTATGGAACTATCAACTTAGACCCCAAGTGATATCGGTCTTCCTTCCCAAAAGCTATGCAGTTCGATAGCGGGCCCCTGGCCGAAAGCCTATGAATGTCTGTAACTTAGACCAGGCTCTCACTAACTTCCCGGAAATTTCACCCCAGATCTCTCCATCAAAGCTCAATATCAATGCCTAGATCCATCGCGCCAATGATCTCATCATCCATCAGCGGCGCCGAAATGACCGGCAAGCCGTTCTTCTTCTGTTGCTGCCTGTGCTGCTCCTGCAACTTTGCAATATGCGGCAACACCCCGTTGCTGTTCTTGGTCTCGCCCTTCGATGGGGTACCTGGCGCGGGCGTGCCAGCCTTGGACGGACTAGGGGTGGCCTTCTCAGACGAGTCGTGCACGAACTTGGGCCTGGTGATGAGCCTGCGGCTCATGTCCTCCTGAACGGCCTCGCCACGCTCAATCTTCCTCTCGATTTGACGAGCCTTGGCGCGCTCGCGAAGCTGGGCCTTGCGCACCTCTTCGGCGTTGCGTCTGCGGTTCTCCATGTTCTTGAGCGCCAGCTTCTCTTGCTGGGTCAGCTCCTTCTTGCCGTCTTTCTTGGTGAGTGAGGTGCGGAAGGCAAGGCGGGGCACCTCGAGCTTCTCGAGACGCTCCTCGTAGCGGGCGATGGCGGCTTCGTCGTTGGCCTGTCGAGCATGGTCCAACTGCTTCTTGAGATAGTCACGTTGGGCACCAGAGAACTTGGCCTGCAGCGCGTTCTGACGCTTGAGCTTTTCTGAGAGCTCCTGCTCGGTCCAAGTACGCTGGACGAGACGGTTGATGTCGTCGATCTTGTCAATAAGGGTCTGTTTGTCCGGGAAGGGGACACCCTCGGCAAGACAGACTTGTTTGTAGCGGTTGTACTCGGCCTATTGAGAGTCCAATTAGAGAGGATGACAGGTGAGGGAAGGAAAGGGATGCATACATCTGTGAACTTTCGGTCGGAACATGTGATCAAAGGCCACTCCCGAACGGCTTTACCGTGAGCAGCCTTGACATACATATCGACGACCATTTGGTGACCTTGATGATCTTCCAAGGCGTAAGCCTTACCGGTGGTGAAACCTGCACGGTGGATGTTAGTGACACGAAAGTGAAACAAAGGTATAGCAAGAAATATCTTACCCTTAATCAGAGCCATACGGTAGACATCCTGGCGAGTATCGGGATCGGGACCAATGTTCAGGCGAACAAAACATCCTGTGAGAGCCTCATCGAAGCCGGGATAGAAAGCAACCTCAGCAAAGCGACTACGGCCAACACGAACACGCTCGAAGTCTCGAAGCTCGGCAGGCGGACTCTCCCTGCTCCCTGGCGAACGAGACCTGTGCTTCTTTTTGCTCGGGCCATCCCAGTCGACATCGCTATCATCGCCACGACCGGGGCTGCGTCGGTATGAAGGCGAACGCTTACGACGGTCATTCTCCCGCTCCCGCTGCTCCTTGCGGTTGGAGCGTTCCTCCCGGGCCCGCCGGAGGGAATCCATCTTATCGTCGGCCTTGGTGCGAGCCCGTGATGTCTTGCGTGATGAATCATCGAGCTCGGCTAGGCTTGCCTTGCGTTTCTTCTCTTGGTTGACCTTTAGCTGGCGAAGCATGCGGTTCTGGCGGATACGTTCATCCTCCTCTCGACGCTCGGCCAGGATCTGTTCCCTCTCGATTTCGCGCATGCTCATGATCTGCTCCTTCTCTTCGTAGTCGCGGAAGAGACCGTCGACAGGATACTGGTTCACCTCATCGTCAACACTACGCCTCGCCGGCGAGGCATCTGAGTCTGAGTCTGATTCGTCCATGGGGGCAGAAGCTTGGGAGTCCGGGGACCCCGGCGGAGAGCTGCCGAAGAGAAGTTTGTTAACCTTGAGCATCATCTTGAGCAGCATGGTGGGCGGGGTGGTTGACGGAATAAAGAGGGGAAGGAGGCAAGAGGAGGAGAAGGAGGCAAGAGGAGGAGAAGGAGGGGTTAATAAAGGCGAGCGGTAGGCTGAGGTTGATGTGGCGCTTAAAGGTGACATGTAAAGCGGCAGCCTTAGGGCTACCTGAGAGCTGGGTGAAGGGAAAGAAAAACAAGCACTCACGCCTGGCCCTCGTCCTCCGACTCGTCATCGCTTCTAGCACGTTTCCTCCCCACTGACTTCTTCGCCGTTCCCCTGGTAGACGTATCCTTCTTCCTCGAAGGCTCTGGTGACGGGGAGCGGGAATCGTCCCTGCTCATGTCCATAGCCTCATCTCCGCTATCGTCGGAGGCGTCACCGCCAGCAAGGGCGAGCAACTCGTCGTCGATATCTGACATGGTCACTTGTCTGTCGCGGTCTGTCGGTCTTTAATAGGGTGCTTTTTGTGTGCCTGTGACGCTAGGGCTATGCAATCTCTTGCGCGCAAAACAGGATTCGATGGTAAGCAGTCGGGTGGAAGGTGACCGAGATGCCGAGATGCGTCGAGTACAGGCTGTACTGATTCTTCGAGTCGAATGTATTGTTGTAAGTCGATGATCGAAACCAACAACCTTCTCCCAAGTGTGGATTAACGATGCGCCAAAAAAAGAGATGGGTCGTTATTCAATCGGGTGGTGTTAATGAGGCGACGGGAGCGACGAATGACTGAGGAGGAGACAAGAAAAAGTCCAAGTCGGGATGTTAAAGTTTAAAAGGGAGGTGAACTCTCCTATTGTCCAGCAGTTATCAGTAGGAATTCAATGGGGTCTGGTCCAGGCTGATGGTAAGGCATGGAACTGGGCGGCGCGACCTGGAACTCCACCCGCTGTGCGCGACGGACATGTCCAGTGCTTGGCGGAGTTAATGGGTGGTCAAAGCGCCTGAAAGTTCCACACCGCCTAAAGGTTGGATTCTGTTGCCGGACCGGCAACTGCCAATTGAGTTTGGCCTTTCACCCCTGGCCGACCAACGTCATCGCATGTGCAGCACTGGAGCAGCGATGGAGCTTCCCCCGGCCGGCCGGCGTGCGCCGTGATTTTGTAAGTGGGCCGATTTTCTAGAACTAGAACCTGGTCTCAGTTCCGTCTTTCACTCGGCCTCGGCGCATCTCCCCCGAGCTCACTGCCTTCCCATCAGTTTCATCCGGTCCGTGCAACATCAAATTCCACAGCCTCATCGCAAGTGTTTCTTCAACACGGAAGACCAAAAAGACAATCACAGCCATAATGCTTCGTCCAGCAACCAGACCAGCCCTTGCGGCCACCAGACAAGTCCGGCAATGCGCCGCGCGCTTCCTTTCCTCCCCGGCCTCGCCTGACACCAGCTCTTCGCACGTCAACAACCCCTCCACAACCCCCAAGACCAACCCATCATCACCACCACCAAACTCCAAGTCGACAACTTCTTCCAAGGGTAAAAAACCCCTCACTGCCGAGCAGCGCGCCTTCCTCTCGTCCGCCCTCCGCGTCAACCAAGCCGGCGAGCTAGCCGCCACCCTCATCTACACGGGGCAGACCCCGCCCCTCGTTACCCGGGACCCCTCGCTGCGTCCGCTCATGAAGCACATGTACGACCAAGAGGCGGCGCATCTGCGCACCTTCAACGACCTGATCTACCGGCACCGCGTGCGGCCCACGGCGCTGTACCCTCTCTGGTCTGTCATGGCCTCGGGATTGGGCTGGGGCACCGCCATGCTGGGCAAGGAGGCTGCCATGGCGTGCACCGAGGCGGTGGAGACGGAGATTGGCGGGCATTATAATGCGCAGATCCGCCAGCTGTTGGAGATGGTCAGCGAGTGGGAGGCTGAGGGGTACGAGGTTGGAGGAGAGTTTAGGGATCTGCTTAACACGTTGAAGAGGATACGGGATGAGGAGCTGGAGCACCTGGATCATGCTGTTGAACATGATGCCCAGAAGGCGCAGCCGCATTGGTTGTTGACGGGAGTGATCAGGGCGGGGTGCAGAGGTGCCATTTGGGTCAGTGAGAGGGTGTAAGGATGGGTTTTGTTTTCAGAGTTGGATGTCAAGGGGAAAAGTTAATCTATGGGGAGTATTGTGTCAGGCTTATGGTGGAAAAAGCCTTCATTAAGAGCATCTGCATCGTGCTCAGTGAAGTACGGATTATAGACAAGACCGTATGTACTATTAACTTATTGTTAGGGCGGGCGTTGAACAAAAACACCAAAAGTCCAATTTCGACCATTGCCCTCAATTTCTGAAGCACATCGACAACAGCACTCGTCTACCAATGAACTCCTTTCGACACATCGAGACATTCATGAATTCAGGTGGCCCATCTTGTTACCATTCCACTCAGGATATGAGATGAGAATGTTCACTTCAAATCGGTATCTGAGTCTCTCTCTTATTCTTTGCGCACCTTTCAAAGAGTTATGTATGGGTTGACAACACTAACGATTCTAGTTGTGGGCTACATCGTGAGCATGAAGTTGCTGTGGCTTTGGTTTCGGCTTTGGTTACACATGTGGCTGCTGCTTGGGTCGGCGGTAAGTGACACTTGCTCGGACGACTTCATCATGTTGACAACGCCAATGCTCAAGTTATACTTGTGTCTTCTTCGAGGCGCGGAAGAAAGAAATGGAAAACCGCACGATAACCACCTTGCCGGTGTTTTAATAAATTGTGGAAAATGATAACGCAACAAAAGACAACCCGCCAAAGCTGGAACTGTCAACCCATCCTCAAAGCACCAAATAAAGTAGAAAGAGGGGTAGCAACGGGAGCGAAGATAACATCCCATACCGTAGAGGAAGCGATTCCAGCAACGCCTATGAGAACCAGGGCAGAGACTCAACACCACACCTCCAAACGATATCCCCGGCCGTGATGATCTGTGCCTCACTCACCAACATCACCATCATCACTATCACCACGCGGGGCATCACATGTTCATATCTGAAGCTCAAGAACAGAAGCATAACATCACCTTATATACCTTCGCACTATCAAATCGATTGACCCGTTCGTCCGTCCAATAACGATACGGTAGTGCAATGGCGAGTGAAAGAGTGAAAGAGAAAGTGAAAGTGAAAGTGACCATCACAGTCACAGTGATGCCGTGACTGAACCAAACTCCACACTGCATGGTGTTTATTACCTAACCACTTCCCACTCCATCCACACAAGTCACAAAGACAACATCAGCCAAAAAGATCATCATGTTCAGTTCACTTGTCGTCAAAACTACCCAAGCACACCATGTCGCCCGTCACACATAACAAACCCCCCTTGTCCCATGCCCCTGTCCGCCCCGCCCAGGAACATGCGCCGCAGCGTCGTCCACTCCCAACCCATCACTGTGATCCTCCCCTGAAACAAGTCAGGTACGCTAGCAATGGCAGGCCGTGATTGGCCGGAAACGCATAAGGACTCACAACTCCCGGCGCTTGCAGAAAACCACGGTTAACCAATCAGTAGGTTGCCGCTTGTGTGTGTACCTGACAACTTCTGGACCTTTTGAACCTTTTTCTTTGGCAAAATTTCTAGGAGGATACACGTGGGCTTGCCCTGGGAGCAGCGGTAAAAGAAAGGCGCAGAACGGATATAAGGTCAGGTCAGGTCAGGGAGACAGGCCGGCTGGCCGCTGGATGGTCATGGAGTCGGGAAGGCGAGAAGCCGTTCTTTTTAATAGAGCAATGGAAAGACAAAGTGCCGAATGCAACAGTTGGTGATGGTATGTATTTGTCGAGTGGGACAACATCGAGACCATTGACCAGGTTCAGCCAGGCACGCCCAGGCACAGTAGGGCGGGAGAGGATTAGACGCAGGCGAATCTCGGCGTCACACAACGACAGGTGAAGATCTAGTCCGCATTGAAAGATTGGGCATCGTCAGATCACAGTTGTACCTTACCTAGCGGGGAGTGGGGAGGGGGAGGGGGGCATTGGGTCCTTTTAAGCATACACTAGCTCCTCTGGAGAGGCAACCACTAGCGAGTGAGAAAGAAACAGAGGGCCTAGCTAGGTATGGAGAAAGTTGAACCATTCGTCGAATGACGGGACCGACCATTAACATTGCACATATACATCTCTTGGAAGTAGGAGTACCTAGCCGCCGTGGGTATACGGGGCCATCGCCGGCGTTTATACAATACATGTCCACCTACCACCTCTTTACCTCCCAAACGCCTGTCTTTCTTCCTTTTTTGTCCGCCTCCTTCCCGATTCCGTTCCATTTTTCTCACATTTCTCTTCCCACTGTCATACCATCCATCACCCGACTTTGACAGTCGCGCGTCGCATTTCCTATCGGTCTCGACTTTGCTTGCCGGGCAACGCAAAATAAGTGGTCTCACCTCGGCCCATATTGACCTCTTCGACATCAGACCAACATCTCATCATAATCTCATCACTACAAGGCCGGGCCTTTGGGACAACAGTGGTTCTTTATATAGAGGGAGGAGAAACCCCCAACCGCAGTCATGTCGTCAAACGCCAACTACGAGCCGGATGCGAACCCAGGAAGCGTCGGTGCTGGTCCAGACATGGGAGATGATGGAAGTATCGCCGGTGCGTCCGGGACGTCACCGAACGACGTCGGGATTTCTCAAGGTGGTCTGATTGCCATCATTGTGGTTGTTTGTGTCGTCACCATCTTCGGTGGTAAGTTTTGCCCAACAGCAATGCCTCATTGACTGAACATGGAACTGACACCTTCAATAGTCGGAAGCGCAGTTCTCTTCTTCCTGGCAAAGAAGAACGAGTGGAAGGTCAGGGAGACCATCCGGAGGTCGGCAAAGAGGGTTAAGACGGCTTTGACACCACGACGCAGCGAATTCCCCAGATCAGTCAAGGGATCTTTCCGATCAACCCGATCTCAAAATAAGGGCCGCGTGAGGATCGATGATGTGCCACCAACACCGCGCATCGAGCCCGAGCACCTGGATCTGGAGAAGGGCTTGGAGAAGCCGGAGAAGTCGGGTAAAACACGCATCAACTTTAGCCGCAAGTGAGCTGGTATGGCACTGGAGGAGATCGGACAGCACGAGTTGAAATAATGAACCGTTTGGTGACGAAAATGGCAAGCTTGGGGTATATTTTGGGTATCGCTGGTCGCGCGAGCCTATTGCTTTGCGACTCATATTTCGGAAAGAGGAATGCCGTAGACGGCAATGATGGTTTTTAGCCGGTTCACCACGGCCTGGGGAGGTGACATGAAAGATACCATCACTTTTTCACATGTATGATATATAGGGTTGGACCGATAGGGTTCTGGCGTTTTACAGTCGTCTAAAGGTGTTCGTGCTTGCACTTCTCCTCCCATCGTCTCTCCTACGTGTCGGTGCAGCTTCGGGCTCGGCCTGCTTCTTCCTGGACTCGGGCACGAACGTAACCTTCTGCTCGCCGACCACGTCCGTCCGGACCTTGGTGACGCGCCCAGTCTTGGGGGCTCTTTGGCCGAATGCCGTATCCTTCGCCTTGCCACCCGCGATCTTGGACGACGAAACCTGCATGACCACGTCATCCTTGCTCTTCTTCTTCTTCTTCTTGTTCTCGACCTCGCTTTCTGGATCGCTTTCATCGTCGCTGTTGCTGGTAACTGAAGAGTCGTCGTTGACGTGCTGTACTGAAACTTGTCCGCCAACCTGGGTGCTGGGGTTGAGGTATCGGAATTCCCTGGACATCTCATCGATCTTGAACTCCTCATCCTCGAACAGCTTGCCGAAACGAGAATCGTCCAAGACACCAGCGGCAATCTTCTTCTTGTCGGAGCGATCAACAATCTTGTCGACCAGCTTCTGGTTGACCTTGACCTTCTTGACACCTCTGATACGGCTCTCACGAGCCTTCTCAACCTTCTCCTTGACGCGCTTGGCCCGCTCCTCTTCCCAGACGTAAGGGTTGGCAATGAGACGAGCCTGATCGTACAACTTGGAATGTACGAAGTAACCGTGCATGTAAGGACGCAACAGGTTGGTCTTGCCAACCAAGTGAGCCAAGCTGAGCTGCTTGAGTTCGGGTATCGTAAGGAACTTGTAGTTGTCGTATGTGTCGACGCGCTTCTCGTTCTCCATTTCGTGGACCATGTTGTCGAGGAAATGGCACCACCTGGGAGCCAGGCCGAGGTTGGGAATAAAGAAACTGTGCATCTGCTTGCCCTCGTTTGCGGTCAATAGCATGCCGGAATCGGGGACATGCGCCACGTGGTTAATTTCGACGGTCGGCTCGATCGAGGTCCAGAGGTCGCCAGTCTGTTCGTCCCAGAGCTTGATAATTCTCTTATCGGCCGTAAGAAGCTTCTTTTCCTCGGTAGGGGTCGTCAAGTGGATGATGTTCTTGATGGGAAGACCCATGCCCTGATCCTTCTTCATAAGCGGGCGAGGGTTTCTCAGATCGAAAACTTGAACAATACCCGTGCCTGTTCCGAGCGCAAGGGAGAGACCGTCCCTGCTGTAATCCAACGCAGTAACCTCGCCCTCTTGACCGCCCAAAACAGCAACGCGATTCCTGCTACGGGGATCGTAGAACTCGACTGTGCCGAGGGTCGTTCCGAAGGCGCAAAGACCGTGTGTGGACTCGGCGACGGCCGCGACATTGACAGCTCCGACGTTGATGCCTCCCTGAAGACCAGCACCGGGCTCATCTTCACCGACATCCACCTGCCACGGCCTCAAAAACTGGCCGCGCTCCAGATCGAGACGGAAAACCTCACCCATACCAGAACCATCGGCGCTCAAACCGACGGAGGGAATGAGCACTTCTGTACTTTGGCGAAGATATGCGAGGTCTCTGCCGAAACGTGGGAGTCTGACTTCGTAGTGGCATCCCATGGGGGTATGGAACTCGATCGAACGGTCGGATTGGAGGTGTACGCTCTTGGTGTAATCTTGGCTGAGCATAATGAAGGTTGTGTTCTCGGATTTTGTATGGCGAGCGAAGGACAGCGACAATTCCTGGGTGTTATGGACGTGGAACTGGGGCTTGTAGGTACCGGAGCTCATGATCCAGTTGCCATCGTCACTGACGCGGACGCAGTTACTGGCCTCCTCGAAGTCGAAGTTTTGGAGGAGCTCAAAGTTGTTGAGTTCTTCAGGTTCGTACTTGGCCGATCTCTTTCTACGGCGGGCGAGCCATTCTGGAAGGGGTCTCGCAGTCGACGGCCCAGATACGGTGTATCTGCAGTCACAGTCAGCATTTGAAGAAGATGTAGACTTGACAAGAACGAGGGTACGTACACTGGCACCGCGCCGGGATTTGTCAACTTCATGATGGGTGGTGTTGTTGGTGATGATGGATGGGGCAAGGATGGAAGTTGCTGGAGAAAGAGAATGCTGAAGGGAAGTGGAAGTTTTGGAGAACAACCCTAACCCGTATCTGAACTTTTTGCGGCAGAAAATCTGCAAAAGTTTTGAGAAGCGCCATCAAAGCCGAAAGAGGAAGGCGGACAGCCACCGGTGATAAAGCACTGGCAGGCATGCCCGGATCGTGCTTGGCGGCAGGGTCCTTTTCAGTGGGTCTCTGCCCAGCTGTGGATTTGTGTGGGTCCTCCCCCGTCGCTGATCCGAACTGGCTGTTCGCCTGTCGCATCGGCATCCCGAACCTTTACTGGACCTCGAGCCGACCTCGACACGATTACTGCCCGCCGTCACCGTATTCGTCCCAGCGCAACTGGACCCCCCCAACGTGAAGCAGACTCCATCCTTCAGTCCCAAGACAAACATCGAATCCCCCGCCTTGCAGCTCCAACTCCTCCGTCCCATCTCCCGAACCCGCAAATGACCTCGTGGGCGCATCGTCGGTGATTCGCGACGGTTCGCGCTGCTGTTGGACAGGGGCCTTTGCTGCCATGGAGTCCAGCATCCCAACGACGTATCAAGAACAACTACCGAGTCCATCATCCATGCTTGAAGTTCAGCTTCCACTTCTGAGCGCCGCCACCATAGACTTTCATCTCAACAACACGCCATCACACCATCCATCAGGTCGCCGTCACCGGCCTACATGCGCCCTGCTCCCACTCCGCTAACGCCCGGTGCATGGTCACTACGACTTTTGCGACTCCGCCTAACAAGGCATCTCTATTTCAGATATGGACACTGGCGACTATGATACCAATACCTTGCTAATTGTATGCTGGCCTGTCTTATCCTCGGACCCTCCGCCCCCCCTACTCACGCGTCTCTCTTGCAGAATAATCTTTCCGCCATTGCCTTTCGCGTTTACGAACCCGTTGCCGCCAACACAGCTTCTTACACCTTCCAGCCACAGGTCGTCGAAGATGCCTTGCGCCGCGATGGCCACCTTGTCCACGTCGATACAACGAGGCGATGTATATGGTGTTTCTACCTGACCACCAAGGATGGCTCGTCGTTGGGGCCCGAGGAGAGAGGGCTCACCGCCAAGATGGAGGTCTGCGGTTACTCGCTAGGCTTGTCTGGAGAAGGCGGCTTTGAACCCAGCAGCTTGTTCAGAAGCAGACAGCTCGGGACAAACTCTCTCAACACTCCAAACAGCTCGTCATCTGCCGGTTCTGCCCTTGACACAGCATTTCGGAATCCGCAGGCCTCTGCCTTTCCCACGGCAGCAGGAGCCATGCCCGGCGCTCCAGTTATGGATAACAAGGGCGCGTCGCATATCATGCCGGACTCGGATCGCTTCGCCCACGTGCCCATTAAGGAGAAATACGACTTCTTCATCACTGCGACTCTGGCATCTCTATCCTCCTCGTTGTGCCACACGATAGGCGCAATTCCGCTGGATCACAGGTCGATATTGCTTCCCTCCCAAGCCTACTACTTGGACGAGTTCACCCTGGGCCCGAAGCCACATACTTCTGCCTTGGGTACTTTTCGCGTGTACCTTACATCGACCGGGACACTCGTCATTTCTCTTTCCGTCTCTTTGCTTGAGGGACTGGCATCGTTTGCCGAGTTGGCGCGGTCTAACATGCTCCCATCAAATCCAGTGGTGCTTGCTGCTCCCCTTGGGGCGTTTGGTTCCATGATGAATCCAGTGGATGGAGACGTATATGGACTTGATAGCGGGTATGGCCAATCGCCAGACACCCAAATCAGTCGTCTAAGGCCGGATCCAACCGATAGGCTCTCACAATGGAAGGCAACTTGTTGCAAAGTACTCCAAATGCGTGGTATCTCACCTTCGCTGATCAATGGCTGCTCCTGGTTCAATGTTCATTTCCTGCAGCGAAAACCATACGAACACAGGCAAGACGCCAAGAGAGCTCCTTTGATGAACCCACCTCAAATCGCGGCTTGGCCATCGGTGCTTTGCTTTAGAAAACCAAGGATCGAGGCTGGAGCTGATAACCGTTCATCCAAGGCACTGGTGGCGAGCGCATCCGAATCGCTAGACCCGGTAGATGACGCGAGGCAATGGTGCCAAGGTTTTCCTGAGCGAGAAGAGACGATCGCAAAGCGAAAGAAGGAAAAAGACGAGAGGGAGGCGCTAGCAGCCGTGTCTCGCAGTATTGCTGATGCTGATTCAAAGAACAACCAGATTAGTGCTGCGTCGCCTATGGCGCTGCGCCGGCCGAGCAACAGCGGGGCCATAGCCGCTTCCAGCGCAATGTATCCGACACCTCCGGACGGAATTCAACCATTAGGCATGGCTTCCTCTGTCGAGACAGGCTTCGCTGCCAGTCCTGCAAATCAACCCCAGCTTAATGCGATGGCTGGCATAGATACTGTGATACAGAACAACGCCCCCCATGCGGAGAACTTTGGCAATGGCTGGGAAGGCGGGGACAACAAGCGGGAGCAACAGGCTGGGAATCTTTTGGAGGGCGACAATATGTTCGGCGACCTCGGGGAAGACATGTTCGAAGGCAACGAGCTTACCGACGCCGATTTCAACTTCTTCGACGAACAACTCAACGAACAATCCGAGGGTGTCGAGATGAATCTTGGCGCAATACCAGAGCTGGGAACGGCAATGGATTTGTCTGCTGATACGGGCCAACCAACTAACTCAACTCCCCAGACTAACAACAGAGTGGAAGAATACAAGACGAATACGCAGCCAGCGCCGCCAGAATTCACCAAACCCGAGCTTAAACATGCACGCAGCACTCTCGCTGAAGGAAGTCGACAGCAAGCAAATCAAGAGAGCTTCAATCGTAATTCCACGATAGGAATCAAAAGACAGTCAAGCCCCTTTAACCGAGAGACTGTGTACAAGCGAATCAAGGCATCGCTTCGGTCGCCTCCGAAACCTCGATCTCCTACTACAACGGTTTCTCAGCGACGTAGGAGTGAATTTGACAAGGTTGATTTCGACCCTTCACTATCGCTGGTCAACGAAAAGTACACCGAGAACGGCCCCTTCAATTACATGATTCCGGCCGTACAGGAAATGCAAAAAGCGCGATTAGAACTGCAAAATCCTTTGGTGACGAGAGTCGAAAAACCTCCCAAGGAGCCTCCAACCAACTTTGGGGCTCTTCTAGCGAGGATAGCTCACGGGATTGGCGGTAGCTTGACAGGCCGCGACGAACTTCCGTCAGAGACCGATGACTCTAGTTGGGCGTCCGATCAAGACGATTCGAGCGACGCGAGCGACTTCGCACCCTCCCTCGCTAAGTCAGGAATATCAAGGCGACGTCTAGACGACGATGTCCTCTCAACTACTGCTTCTTTCAAAGACCTTGAAAATGTTGTGGCAGATACACCAGCATATGGGTCGATTGATTTGGTTCGGCTGTCTCACCCCGAGGTCCCCGAGTTTTCCATCGCCAAATATTTTGCAGACCCAGAGCCAGCACGGCTTCAGGTCTCTTGTTCTGATATGGATTTTATTACCATTGCTCAAATACTTACCGAGCAAGTGGCGACTGGTTCGCTACAAATCGCTCCCAAAATCCTGAGCCGGAAGCCCCAGGATGTGCGCAAAACTTTGGCCAAAGCAGTGCGGTACTCCATGCAGGGGTTACGGAAGGCTCTGCCACGGTCACTGGCCGATGCGGTCGAGTGTTCGCTCAAACCATACGCAGATGTGCAAGATGTGCCTTTGATAGCACTGGCACAGCCACAACGTATACAAGCCAAGCCTATGGGGCCAGAAATGTCAACTCGAAACATCTACCCGATACCAACACCCCATATAGAAATCCGCCGCTATGAAACTCCCTTTTCGATGCTGCCAACAGCCATTAGCTTCTGGGAAAGTTTGGGCCTTAGTCCGGCAAAAGGCGCCAAGGATATTGTTTCAGTCTGCGTGTTTCCGAACGTTGACGGCATACGGGACAGCGCTTCTGCCTTTTTGCAGCGGATTCGAAGTGTTTACGAATCCCTGAAGTTAGGGACGTTTGGTATCCTCCCAACTGTCATGGAGCTCGAGGATGGACTGCTATCATATATGGCGACGCAACAACCGACTGTTCGTGACGAATGGGCTGTATCACCATTTGATGGGCCCATGAGCTGCCTCGCAGATGCACTGACGAGTGTCCAGATGACGGAAAAGAACTATGTTGTCTTTTTTGTCTACCCAGATGAGAAGCCGAGTACGGTCGTGGAAACATGTGCCGCCTTTCATGATCTCTACGAGCGCTACAAGAGGTGTATGGCAGACAACAGGAAGCCGATCACGAGTGAGCTAGTCCTTCAGCTGGTTCCGCTTGATTCCATTGCTTCGGACACAACTGTGACGGTAATGTCTCCTTTCGACTACATCAAGCTGTGTCTTGAAACTTACGATCGCTGCACGCTCTTTGGCGGGCCTATGCCAGCGCCTGCCATCGTCCTCGAGCCGCAGGTCCTGCGAGCGATTGATTTCAAGCTCAACACAAACCCATCCCCGAATCTCCTCCAGGAAAACTCATGTATGCACGTTGCCTACGCGCAAAGCGTGGACGAACGGTGGATTACTGCCGCTTGGACGGATTATCGAGGAACGAGGCAGATGACCACATCATATTGTCTCGGTAGGCGAGACAGGCCACTGACCAGGTCTATAACCGAGATTATACAGCAAATATGGGAGACCACCATGGACCATATTCACTTTGCCCGGGTACACTGGCGGGTAGTTGTCACCAAATGCAGCCCGATGGAACAGCAGGAGATCGATTACTGGGCTAGCCTGCAACAATCCGAAACATATGCGAACGTCAGCCTGACGCTTCTAACAGTCGACACCAACCCGTCGCTACAACTCATCCCGCCAGCTCAAAGAATCCAGATCCCATCCGCTGCTCTCTCCTCAAACAGTCCCGCTTCCACACCCCAAGCTTCCGTTCTCTCCCCCGACCAAAGCGGCCTGGGTCCACCAACACCGATCGGTACCGGCCCCAGTAGCAGCGCTACCGCCGCCAACGACACCAGCAACAATAACAACAACAACAACACCACTGAATCCGACGCCGACTCAACCCTCGTCGACCAACTAGACATGACATGGGCCGTCATCGCCGCCCACCGCCTCAACAACTCGACATCCCTCACCGAACTCAACCAGGCGCTCGCCAGCGGCTATCTCGTCAAGAGAGGCGGCCCAAAAGTGGAGGACGTGCCGGTAACAATGGAGGTGAACGTGATCCATTGCGAGGGCACCAACATCCCGCAGCCGCATCAGTACCCGAGGGTGTACGAGGCCCTGCTCAAGGAGATGCTGTCGCACTTTCGCGGGCTGGGGACGCTGGCGAGGGCGAGGGGGGTAGTGGATCGGGAGTCGGATGTGCGGCCGTGGCATGTGGCGGCGGCGGAGAAGGCGGTTAGGGCGCTTTATTTGTTGATGTGAGGTTGTTGGTTGGTGGATGGATGGATGGATGGATGGATGGGTGGATGGGCTGGGAATTGAGGTTGTATAACAGGATGACAGGATGGATGGAGAGAGAGGCCATCGTTCATAGGATATGCTTGAGCGTGTTATAGCTGAGTAAGGAAGGTGTGGCTTGCGAAGGAATTTTACCAAAGGATCGAATGAGCAAGTATTGGTTGACGAACCGGGGTTCTGTTTGTTGTACAAGGCATTGAAGCAAAGCATATCCACGATGGCTGGTTGCCGTGGACGGGCGCAATTCAGGGTTTTTTTTTTCATGTTCGGTTTATGGATAAGGACTTTGTCGAAATGGTATGGAGAAGGATTAGGTATATAGCAAGTGCATCAAAGCATTTCCCAACGTTACCCGTTACTATGCTGCCAGTCTGGTTGCTTTTAGAGAGTTTTGATCAGCACTGCCTTCAAAACGGTTTCATCTTGAGATACACTCCCCGCACGCCCAAAAACTCCCCAGGTACGCCCTTCAAGTACACCCTTTTAAGACAGACAAGAAAAAAGGATTCCGTACTTCCATTTGCATTGGCTTTTGTCTTCAATAATACTTTTCCGTCCATTCTCCAAAACGAAATGACATTATTCTAACTCCTTTAGCCTTATTGAGGATGTATATTAGACGGTGTACTTCGTCTTCGATACTTACCATCCTTCTTTGAGTCGGACTACGAAATGCGACTAAGGAAAACTATTTTAAAGGGAAAAAAGTAATGTGGGCTTAGAGTAGGCTTAAGAGAATTGTATTATGGGTTGCTTTGGAGGTAAAAGCGCGAGTCTGGTTCCTTTGCCTTCTGGCACCTCGGAAAATGGGCGTACCTGGGGAGTTTTTGGGCGTGCGTGGAGTGTAGCTCTTCATCTTCGTCCAGGACCTATAGGCGATCGATCGAAGACTCTCACTATTGATAGGGAGAAATTCAGAAAGTATAAATCACATCAGTAAAAATGTGAAGCATGTCGTTAAATTGTATGAACCAAAAGGATATCTATGCCGCTATCTATAACGCAACGCCAAGTCTACGCGCGTTTTCCCAATCCTGAAGAGCCCTCCTGTATAGCCCAGTTCATTTCCATTACTATCATGGCAGATTTCGTGAAAATATTTACCACTTGACCCCGATTTTTTTTTAGCCCACGTCACACTTTACTTCTCCTCCCAGAACCCAGGGAAAAGGAACTCAACCCTCTTCATAGCCTCGGGATCACGGCCCTCAGGCTTAGTCATGAACTTGACCGCGCCCTGCGCACTACCCTGCCACTTCTTCGCCAGCACCAAATCGCTGTTATCCTGCTTAAGCAGCTCATCCAGCACCGCACCAACCAGGTGCTTAGCGTTCTCGCCGTTGGCAGCCATGTACTTCATGACCATGGCGACATCCACATCCTCGCCCGACTCGCCGCGCCAGCAGTCGTAATCGGTCGCCATGCAAATCATCTGGTAAGCCAGCTCCGCCTCTCTCGCGAGCTTAGCCTCGGGCAGAGCAGACATGTTAATCACGCTACCGCCCCACGAGCGGTACATGTGGCTCTCGGCGCGGGTGCTGAAGGCGGGTCCCTCCATGCAGATGATGGTGCCCTTGTTGTGCAGGACGACACCGTCGCCCTTCATCGCGGAGGCGCACTTCTCGACCACAGCGGCCAGACCGGCATCAAAGGGGTCGGCGAAGCCGACGTGCCCGACCACGCCGCCCTCGTAGAAAGTAAAAGGGCGGATGCCCTTGGTCCGGTCGATGATCTGGTCGGGGATGACGAAATCCATCGGCTTGATCTCCTCGCGCAGGGAGCCGACGGCGGAGAAGGCGATGATGGTGCGCACGCCGATGGAGCGCAGGGCGGCGATGTTGGCGCGCGCGGGAACCTCGTGAGGGGCGAGCTGGTGGTAGAGGCCGTGGCGAGCGAGGAAGGCGACGGCGTGTCCGTTGTGCTCGAAGATCATGAGGGGGGAGGAGGGAGAGCCCCAGGGGGTGACGGGGTTGAGGGCGGCGACGGGGACGTAGCCGTCGAGCTTGGAGAGGCCGGTGCCGCCGATGACGGCGATGTGGACGGGGCCTGGAAGGGAAGTATTGTTAGCTGGTGTTCTTGTTGTTGTTCCTCCCTGAGCCCATAGTGACAGGGCAATTGGCGCTGAGAGCAACCATATGGTAATCAATCCATTCAGGGTGAATGATGACGGCAACGACTTGGACTTACCATCGTAAGTGGTGGGAAGGTTCTCCATTTTGGCGATTGGTATATACTAAAACTGAACGCCGGGTATATATGCAAGGAAAGAAAGAAACGCGTATCAAGAAGCAGACAAGACAGAAAAGAGAGAAGATGTGTAAGCGCACGCAACGAGACCCCCGAATTACCTCGTCGTCCCGGCTGCCGCATCACCTAATTTTTTGGATGATACCCCTCGATTGTGCCGATAAGATAAGGACTCCTTCAAGGTACATGCGCGGGGGGGGAAGGGGGGGTTTGAGCAATGCGGCAGGGGTCAAACGTCTTTGCAAGCAAAAAGTCTTGGCGCTGCGGTTTGTCAGTTTGAAGATGCTCCACTTTTGAAAATCCATTTGCGAACCACTTTGCCTGCCGCTGACCAATGACCATTGCTCTGTCCTCGATTCTTCTGAACTTCAAGAGCTTCTTTCACTTGAATTCAGTTCTGAGCACATCTTACAACAGCAACATCCCTCTTTCGGGTTTGGTGTATTTGGCTGTTCTGTTACCGCAAGAATACCGCCATTTCATCTACATATAACCTTACAACACGGTATCGGCCCAACATATCAGCATCTTTACATCCGACAGCTCTTCCAAGGCGCCTCACTTATTCGAAGAACCCTGGTCATCCAGGTGCTCGTAACCCCAACAACGCCATTATTCAATATAGTTTTTCCAACTTCAAAAATATCGAAAGACAGCAGAGCGTAAACTCGTCGCCCGCACATCATCATGGCGACGCCTGCCGCTCCCGAGGGCGCTGTGGCAGCCGACCATCGCCCTGCCCTCACGGTCGAGGAGCTCTGCTTTGCCTCTGCCATGAGCTGCTTTGAGGGGTGGCTCAAGATGGACCCTGCTATCGGCCCCCGTACCATGTCCTACGTGACCAAGTTCATTTCCAGGACTCTGGAAAAGACACACAACTTGAAAGAAGTCCGGTAAGGAACATCATATCTTTTCTAAAGCTCATGACACTAACATATAACACAGAGAAACGCTGTCAAGGAGTGTGGAAGTATGGGTGTGGCTCACAAAGTCCTTCGCCGCCGCGCTTCCTAGTTTGACAACGCGGTCGATTGGTCCTCTGCAGAGCCTCAATGACCCCGAAAAGGGCGTTACCCCCCAGGAGAGCACCGCTCTGATCACAAAAAACTACACGTCACTCAAAGAGGACTTGCAGTTGTTGATCAAGTTGATGCACATTGCAAGGAACCTGCTGGTCGTCCCCGAACCAGAGATTCCCCAGGATCTGTGCGCTGCTGCCCAGTTCGACAAGATGCTCTACCAGACAATCACCCTCTGTGTGAACGTCACCAGTAAGGCCTACGATGGCGATATCCTGGAGGAGACTGCTCGCCACAAGCTCAGCGAGATTACGGAATTGTATAAGAAACTCCTCATCACTTGTCTGCAGCAAGCCCACAACTGGATCGCCAAGAATGACCGGAACAAGATGTCATTTTGGTGTGCCGTTTTGTTCGACGACGAGTCTGGCGAGGAGCAGCAGGATGCCGGTGCCCAGTTTGCCGACTTCCGCCCCGATGTCGCCAAGATGGAGGTTCAGAACTGGGTCGAGCGCAACTCTAGGATGTGCGACAAGGCTCGGCAATTACTGGTTGATTACCAACAGAACTTGGGGTCTCGCGGATCCCCCCCTGGAAGTCTACCCGAAAATTCTGTCTTGTCGTGGAACTGGATGCCACATGTTCGTCCGCGAGCCGACGATATCGGTGAAGAGACCAAGATCACGCCACAGTGGAAGGAGGACGAACAAGACAAGTTTGAGCAAGACAGGCTTTACGGCCGCGTATCAAGAGAAGTCGACACCTGGTGGCTCAAGGTGCGGGATCCAAACTACGACGAATGGATCATCTCCATGCCTTCGGTCGAGAAGGCGCACCAGCTTATTGAGGGCTGCAAGCTTAGCTCGCTAAACCGTTATCCTCATTCGTATCGCAACGATGATCAAGAGGGGTCAGTCCATTCTGCCGAGAATGTCCAGATGCCTGAGCACCAGGGTCCAGAGGGAGAAGTCCGAGATGACCGTCACTACAACCTACCGGACTATAACGACGACATGATTGAGGACGAGGATGTTGACGATGACGAATCGTATGGCGAGGGTCCCATGAGCGGCTTGCTCACTGAGGTTCCCAACATCCTTGATCCGAAGCAGATCGAGGCACTTCACATGATTGTCAAGTCCTGCATTCTCGACAGTGCAGGAATATCACTCAGCAGGGCCGGCGAGAACTTGCAGAAGACGAGGTGCAGAATGTTCCTGTCTCTCGAGTGCGGCAGGAGTCTATTGCGTGAGATCTTGGTTTTCATCGCCGTGTGGGAGAAGAGTGAGCAGTCTCTCATTTTCCAGCTTACCACTCAGATTGTCGAAGCCATTCACCACAGTGCTTTGATCCCCTTTGCGTGGCAGTCGTTGCGTATTCCTAAGGACATTATCTCGCCTGCCCAGACCGTCTTGCTTCGTCTGGTGAACAACATGTTCCGGACGCGTCTTCAGGACCCGATACAGCCCGGGTCTAAGGGGCATCTGCGGGACATCAAGCTCCTCCAGTTTCTCTACATCCAGTTCCGCACTCGCATAGTTCCCGAGTGTGCCGCTCTCATGCACCTTCAGGCCCAGATTCGCAATGAGGTGTGCGATCCTGCCGACTTCCCTGTTGACAGCTGGGATATGGAAAGGGCCAAGGACGGTCTCCAGCAATTCCTTGATTTGCTTATGACGGTCAATGAGCCAATTGAGTGGAGGACCTGTCTGATTCAATGGGAGGCCGTGTTCGATCTTCTCGTCCTCCTCAAGAGTCTTGAGTCTGCCGTGCCGAAGAAACCCATGGTTGACCTCCCTGACCGGTCCGCTCACCGGCGCCCCCCTCCGCCTCACGACGATGACCGGGACCATGACTACGACAGCGCCGATCCGCCTCCGCCCCCCCCTCCTCCCCCCATCCAGGAACATGCTCACAAGTTCCCATGGGCTGGCATCAAGGGCCAAATCCTTCACATCATTGCTGGACTCCTGCAGCCGGAAGCTGGACGCGCCGGCCCCGGCAACCCCGTGGTGCAGAAGCAGATTATCCAACACAATGGTATCATAAGCCTACTCAACTGCTGCGTTTACGACGACCATAACAGGTTCGCGCGCGAACGCGTGCAGATCTGCCTCAAGTGGCTCATGGACGGCTCCGCGGAGGCCAACAAGGTTTTGCACGACCTCGTAGCCGTCTCGCCACCGCCCAACCTCCAACCCGCACCCGACGCCAGCGGACTCACTCAGCCTGTCCCTCTCCGCGTCGACGGTATCGCCGGCGAGGTCAAGGTCCGTGTCAAGTCTAACAACCCTCATTCTGCCTCCTCCTCTTCTTCTTCCTCTTCTGCCCAACAACAACAACAACACCACCCGTCGGCGGCGTATCAACAATATCCCCCCCGCCCGTCCAGCGCCGCTAGCAACGACAGCGGAACAACCACCAACTCCAACACCAGCACCTCCAGCAGCACTCACGACCACGACCATGTTTCATCACAAGCAGCTCCCAGCGCCAGCAACCACAACGCCCACCAACCCCCCCGCGTCCACGGCCCCGCCCCCCCTCCCCCACCCCCTCCTCCCGCACTCACCCTCCCCTCGCTCGCCTCCCCCCTCATGTCCGTCTCCCCCTCGGACTACGAGCGCTTCACCAAGGCGTACATGAACGCCCTGCCGCCGCTGCACAGCGCCGCCACCGGTGTTCCCGGTGTCGGACATCTGAATCACCCGATGATGCAGGCTGTTAGGAACCATGGCGGTAGACCAGAGGATCTGTTCAAGGATATTCTGACGCTGGCGGATGAGGCGGCGAGGTTGGCGATTGGTCAGCCGCCGTTTGTGTCGCCGAGTGGGTCGGGAATTGGAAGCGGAAGCGGAAGCGGAAGTGGAAGTGGAAGTGGGTCGAGACAGAGGGATGCGGAGGAGACGGAGGAGGAGGATTTTATGTGAATCGTTGGTGAGAGTGAATGGGAATTGTTAAGAACGGTGGAGGTTGTGGAAAGAAAGTTTGATGACTATGGCGTTTGATGGGTTTGGTCGACGTGGATTCTTTTCGCCTTCCATGTGGATGGAAAATGTCAAAGGTAGCATTCATAGGTGTATATGGATTTGTGTATTTGCTATGGTTTCGGAAAAAGAAGGATAGAGAAGCTATCTACGGGAGCAAGGAAAAAGAATGCGTCAAAGATTTGATATCATATGCTTATCTCTAAACTGGTAATCGTTGACTGCGAGCAGTATGATACTTGCCCATGAATCTACCCCTTAATGCCAGACGTTGTTTCTTCGCCACCATCCCAATGTTTTCGTTTGCGGCGTTCTTCCTCTCAACAATCACTCGCATGCAGTTGAGTTTACGCATGTATGTGTTGTCTTCTCGTCCACTTTCACTTCTTCGTCGCAAACCATACCCTATCGAGTCCTGACACTGCGTCGTGTAGAGAGAGAGAGCGTCCTACATACCTCTAGACTCAAATCTCCATGCAGCCCAGATGGGAGATGGTGGTTCAGCTCTCACGCCCAGGTTGAGTGTGGTTGTTGTTGAGACACAACAACAAAAAGCTCTCTCCCGCTAAAAATAGTCCATAACCGCCCAGGGGTATAATGACGCAAAGGATAGTAGAGGTTGTTAAAGCGGCATAAATAACCAAATGTGTTGATGCGCCGTTCAATGATGGAGTGTGTGTCTCTGTGTGGGATTTTCTGTTCTTCCTTTTTTTCTTCTTTTTTTCTTCTTTTTTTTGTGCATGTACGTGTGCGTGTAACGGCGAGAGAAAGAAACTAAAGCAGCGTGATGACAGAAGAATGTATATGTGCCTATTGTCCTGTTAGCCTGTGATCCAAAGGACACAAGATATGGGAGCCTAAAGATGCTTGTGAAGATCGATCAGGAGAGTTACGAGTAAGAATGCATGCGAAGCCTGAAGGACTTACACAGAAGTTGTCCGGTCCTCAGCAGAGCAGACATCCAAGTGGGCGTGCATAGCAGGCGCCGCCCCAGAACAAGATAGCTTCAGAGGCTAATTGCCCAGAGGAAACCCATAGCTGCTGCGCCACCGGATCTCCAGTTGCCCTCATTGAAGAGTTGTTCAGCCCACGACCCCCCAAAGATTACGCGACGCCACTTCCGAGGTATTCAAGAACGATGGCTTCGACATGAACGGGTCCATATTGAAGTTGTGGGAGTGAAATAGTCGTGGTAACTCTGCGACAGGCCTCGAAGGGGCCTTGCGGCGTATCAAATAATTTGGGCTGGTTGTCCGGGAAATGTTCGGTTTCCAATCCTAGCGGTTCAAGCCATTCGCTAGAAATGAAAATTTGGCTAGGCCAGTGACTGCAAACAAGAGCCATCTTCGGCAAGTCAAGGGTAAACCCATGCATTTGGCCACCAAGCGCAATGGAAATGTTGGTCTTATATTCCGGAGGGCTGAGGTCAAGAAGCAATGTCCCAACAGGCTGTTGTTGTTGTGTTGCCCCGACACATATGAGTCTGTCAGTCATTGCGGTTTAAGGCGTGTTGGCTAGGGCGTCCGATGTAGTCGATCCGGTGTTCTGCGAATGAGAACTGAAAGGTTCCTTTTTCTTCTAGATAGGCGTTGTCTTGTACTTGGGCTTGTACCCGGGGAGCGATTCGGACTGGTTGTGAAGGAGTTTGAACAAGTGTACTGAAGCTTCGATGGCTGCAGTGGTTGTAGGGGATGACTGTGTTCAACATTGCAATGGCAAAGAAGACGATTAAGATACGGCTGGTGTCGTCCTGGTTTCCGAAATACGGAAGAAGTCAATGAGCGTAAAATGTGGCAGGAATGGTGGAATGAGCGTGTAGAAGGAGTGTGGTTGCCGAGCGGTGGCAGGTTGAATAAGGGCAGTGAGAGAAGGACGTAAAACGACAGGAACGAAAAACCTGGTGCCGCTCTACATATTGGCAGGAGGGGGTTGCCGGCCTTTTAGTTGAACTACTTCTCTCCAGCTGCTAGAAATGAAATTCTTTTAAGGGTATGGAGAGACGAGTAATTGAATTTTAATAACGATGGGGCTTCAATAAAGCTCTCAATATATACGTACAATTTGTTGTGGCTTACCCCCTTTAAAATAATAAAACTGTTCTTCCAAGCTGAACGAACCTATACGCCGGTATATAGACTCTTCTCCATCTATATCCCGCCGTCGACTACATTCCGGCATTAGAACCAAACCCCCCTCGAACTTCATATCCTGACCAATATTCACGTAGAAGTCCTTTCGCTTCCACAGCGCAAGCAATACCATATCCCTACTCTCAAAGCTAACATGCCGACTACGTAGTAAGAAGTACGGTGGATGGCCGCCCCTCGGTGATTCTAGCGCCGTATTTGTACCAAAAAGGCATAAAGGACAATGATGGAAATAGAAAGGGATTCCCGAATATTGGTCAATTTGATCAATTATAAAAAATAGAACGCAACGATAGAAGAGAACAGTTGCACCCCTCAGAACCTCGCCCGCCCGTTCGGCTCAATAGCCCCAGGATGATATTCCCCCGCGCCATAACAGCCCCCATCTCACTCATATCTCCGGTGCGTGCGTAGAAAGCTTTGGCCTGCTTCCATTGTTGTTTGAGCGCCTCGATCTCTGGCTCGAATTCATGTTGGGTCTGATTCTGATTCTGATTTTGCATCTCCGATGAGTTTGAGGGGATATCGGTACTTGCTGCTGTCGTTGATGTGGTGGCTGATGGGGCTTCCGAGTAGACTGACGTCTGGCCGTCACCATGGTCTTTCTTCGTCCTTGGTTCATAGCTGACAACGAACGGGAAATCCGGAAACGGCTGTGTTATTGTCGTCCTCGTGAGAGTCGTCGTCCAGTCGCGAGAACTGATGACTGACTGCTCCAACAATTTCTTGACCCAGTCCAGGCCGCCGCTGAAACTGATATCCGAGGTGGATTCCGTCTTGAGGAGATGCCGGGTCGTAGCTTTGGGAAGGCCCTTGTACTCTGGAAACTCCCACTCAATATTGAAAAGGCATTCCTCCCTGCTTCCCATTGCCACATATTCTTCAACGGGCTTTCCGGTCAGAACAGAGAGGAATCGAGCTGATACCGTGGCAATAGCGCCCGGCTCGTGGGTGGAGACGTCGAAATGGTGGCCTAGGGAATGGGGCGAAATATTGGAGCCAAATCTGGAGACATATAAGATGTAGATGGTGTCCTTTCTTGTCTGTTCTCCATGTTAGTTTGGGATCAGTTCATTGACCGCGGTTGTTGTTGTTCTGCTTACCTGGTCGCTTTCATTTGAGCCACCTGTGCGTGGCAGCGTCTGCGGCGATGTACTGCTTCGGTATGGCACCCTCATGGCTGGCAGAATAGGAGCACCTTGTTGAAGACAGTCCAACTAAGACAGGTCTACCAGAGCACTGGAGAAAGGGGAGATGGCATATTTATAAAGTTCAGAGGTCCTTCTTCCGAAGCAGTGCTGCACACAAGCCAAGTCGTATACAAGTCAAGCCAAGTCAGCTTGTTGGGAGGCAAGTCAAGTCGCCCGAAAGCCTGTTCAAGTCAATTCAAGTCCAGAAGCTGACTTGACTTGTTGGACTTGTTTCTCCAAGGCACGGACATATATGTACTAAAATATCCCCGACTGTAGGTATCTGGAGGGGGGTGCATATTGGTCTGGTACAGGTATTGACGCAAGCAAGTTAATAAGCCAAGTTAAATCTGAGGTCAAAACAAGTCAAGTACACGCTTGTTTTTTACAAACAAGTTAAATTAGACCCCCGACTTGATTTGACTTGCCCGACTTGTGTGCACACTGTTCCGAAGTCCTTCCGCGAGGGACCGCCATATTCTCTGCATGTATGGCATCCCATGTCAGCTGCGAACTGCAAGCACTTTCGCTTTAGGTCTTTTTTCATTGGTCATTATTACCTCAATCATAAGACTGCAGCTGTTCCAACTTCCTCGCTCTTGGGTTGTCGACCGCAAACTTGTTTCACCGAGAAATCGACGTCTTCGCCCACTCTACCCTCTCAGTTTTACTTCGAGGCTCTGGATGACTTCCATGTGAACCATGACACTGCACCGCTGATTGACAGTTGGTGCGCTGAGGGAAACCGAAGCTCTTCTCTTTACCAGATATCGACCCCGATAGACAGGTAGAAACATAGCTGAGCCCAACCACGAGTGACGGTCTTGGGTAGGTATCCACATCAATTGTTTGATCTCTAAATGTACTTTCTCACTGTGGTCTCTGCTGCCTTGCGCATTCCCTCATCTCAACCACCACCCACACAAATTCCGTGTAACCAGATCTCCAGAGCCCAAACCACAAACCGGGCACAAATCACATGGAGCTCGGAAGTAGCCCCGACAATCGAACGGTCGATAAGAAGAGAACGTGGGGAGGGGAAGCAAGGGGGAAGCGGGCTACTAGGAGAGCAGGCTGAATGTTAGGCAGACAGGACATGGAGATGCGAAACTTTGGTTCCATGTATGACAGAAAGCGGGAGCGGCTAGGTCCCATTCATTCATCAGGCAGGCACGAAGCAGGCTCGGTGAGGCTGTGTTGATAGGATGTAAGTAACACGAAACAAGCCTTGACCAATCGTGGGGAAGGGGAAAGCCTTCTCCGTAACGGTAGTTATCACCCTCTCCTCCTCGTGCCTGCCTTACCGTTGATTATGTTTGATATGTGTGGATGTCACCCACTTACTTGCATGTGGAAAGAACCATCAATGAAGACAGAATGAAACTTTCCTTCCGTATCCATTACAGCCTCTTTTCCTCGTCGTCCATCCACACCCAACCTAACCCGGCGGCTTCGTTCAGTAGTAGGTAGTTCTTACTACACCATCCACTCCACAATAGCGAAACGGTTTGAGTTGAAACATCTATAGCCGTTGAGCACTGAGGCGAAAGTTTGAGGACTCGTGGCAGCCATTCGTACCTATAAAAGTTGTGTTTTGTTACAGTGTGGCTTTTGCAAGCCTTTCCATTCCCGATTTGGCCAGGCATGTATGTAGGACTATCCTACACCAGAATACCAGAGCCTTGTTGGAAGCCTCAATCCAACTCTTGGTAGATATCCTTGGTCTTGCATGACTAGCTTATCGTTGACTTTGTGGTTATCGACTTATCGTTACCGTCGTCTTGCATTCCTAGCATTGCCTGCCTGGTATGCCGAGGCCGAGGCTGCCTAGCTGTTTGCCTAACTGTACTCACCCATCCAGTCATATGGCGCACACGACTACACGACCGACTCGGAACCCCTTCCGGTTACCGATGGTGCGCATCACGGTCAGGATTGCGACCGATTTCACAGCCCTTTCAAATGGCTCGAGCTATTTCGTAACCTTTGCAGGCTATAGTTTACGTCTTGCCCAGTGTCGCTTGGACTGCTTGATTTTCGGTCGGTTCCTGAAAGCTAACTGGCTCGAAACCAGGTAGGTGCTTGCCGGTGAGTGTTCAACATAACTGAACAAGATCTCCCCGCAATTCGTGTATGGCAAGCCAGACAGGCAGGTGGTAGGGCTGGCTAGATGTCATCGGTCTTTGGTAACGCTAACGACCCGGAGATTGGTAGCCTTGTGCGCTCGTCACCGCCCCGATAGGCCATAGCTGCATGCCGGGCACTGTTCCGTCAACATAGTCATGGCTGTAAGGTATCCTATCCGATCGATATCGCTTTGCTCCTCTCAACTCGTCCTAGGGGAGGATGTCATTGAGTCTCTATATAGACCCAAGACATTAACCGTTCGTTTCGTGATGATCGCCGTCCCAAGCCAGTCCCTTTCTTTCCATCTTAATAGTTGATCAAGCCCTTGTTTTGCCTCTCGAGATTTTGTATCCCAAGCCATATCATCCCCAACCGCATAGCAGACTTAGTCACCCGTCAGCTTTTCCTATCCAACGACTTCAGCGCCGACGACGACGACCTTGTTGTTGGCCCTGTTAGCGCCCTCCTCACTAATCGTGAATCTGGACTTTCAACAACTTAAACAACTTGAACAAGAAAAAGACAAAAGACAAAATGACGAAGCAATGGGAGGACCACAGACATATCATCATCCGGGAGTATAGGGACAACAACAAACCTCTTCATGAAGTGAAGAAGTTCATGGAGGAACGGTATCGGTTTAAAGCCTCGTGAGTATTTCTTTCTGCTTCGGATATGCGTTATCTTATTTCGTTTCGGAAATTCAATGGTGATCGCTGGAATTGCTCGTTCGTTAGCGGGCAAGTTCGGGTCTGGTTTCTCGTTTGTCGTTTCTCGTCGTTGCTGCTTCGACTTGACTATAATCGTATCTGTCTCTAACACGTAAATGTGGGATAGAATCCGAGCTTACAGGTCACGCTTCGATCGATGGAGGGTCCGCAAGTATACATGTCGCAAGCGAAGAGATTCCTTCGGAGGAAAATCTGAGTCATCAGATGATAGTACCGGTTGTTCGCCACCACCACGGAGTCCCATCCGGAGTCGGAGGGTGAGCAGCAGCCCGCAAGAACACTCGTCGATCCATTACATCGGGTCGAGCATGTACGAATCGACAACGCCAGCGGAAGATTTTCTGACGTGAGTTATCTGTTTCCTGAATGTTATCGGCAAGACGGCAACACGAGACGAGAAAGGGCATGAAGGTCGTGTCGTATCTTGCGAATGTGGGAAAAGAATACCATGGTGCTGACTACTTCTTTTCCCCGCTATACTAGCCCCCCGATCTTTGAGCCCCGGCAGTTGTATCATACAGACCCCCTCGCGGGACTGCTCCCTGCTTCGGGTCTGCATTCGAGCCAAGGAGGGCTCGTGAACAGTTTCCGGTACCCGCCTGACCATCAAGGGCAATGTGCCACCGGCATTTACCCGCTGGTCCATGACCCAGTCTTCCAAAGCAAGTTTATCAAGGGCTGTTCTCAACCGCTTCTCGATCACTGCTTCTCCGACAGGGTAGCCAACCGCTTTCCGCGGCCCATACAATGATCCAACAGGGCATGATAGCCCCTCGACCGTTATCAAACCCTGCATGGGTTGAAACGGACATGGCCCGCTGGAGGAGGTGGCGTTCACCGTTCAGCCTTCAACGGTCGAGTTGCCGGTCAACCCGTTCTTGCTAACAGAAAGCATACCCAGTTTACTTGGCGTCCATACCTGGTAGTCGAATTTCGCAGCGGAATTTTTATACAGCGGACATTGTACCAAGAAGCAGTACAATGAAGGGATATTCTGATGTACACATACATATAAAGTTTTGAGGGTGTATCTCTCCCAGCAACCACTTTAAACGGTTACCCGAGACTGGTTTCAATATGATCAACATAAAATGCATGGCGTTGCAAAGTCCTTACTGAGGTGACAATAAACAGTGCGCGTCGAGTGTTGGAGCGAATCAGCTGCTGTGGTTTGATCAGGAGTGGAATAAAAACTCCGTAAAAAGCGGCCGCCCTCATTAGTTCGATGCCGAAGACGACCATTCTCATTCAGAATCGTCCTGTTTGATCTCGTTGCTCGCACGGCCGGACCGTAGTTGGGTACTCTCGCCCACGAGCAGGCTTTCATCCACTTGTTCTTCGGGACCCGCATTGGAGCTGTCCTCGCTTTCCCTTGCTGCTCGAGCAGCTCGCTTGACCTTGCGCAACGTAAGTTCATCAAGATACAGGTCTTTGATGCGAAGCTCCTGTGGTGACATGTCAGTGGCTGGAGAGTCGTTGCATAAAATGATACGTCTATCCTTACCTTGGTGCACACAGGGCACTGTGCTTTGCCGCCAGTGCCTCTCAAGTACTCCACTATTGCGGTTTTCTCAAACACGTGTGGGCATTTCTGGTTGGCGTATGGCTCCTCGAAGGGTCGAAGCGTTAACTTGCAAGTGAGGTCCTGAACCTCACGCTCAATAATGAGGTCCTCATCGCCCGCTGGAGCGCCGTCCCGGATAGGCCTGCCTTGGTTATCAAACCAAGTGGTCGCATCGGGGAGGGGCACTTGGTCTTCGGGATGCTGAGCATCATGCCACATCTTCTTGAAAGCGATGTACTCGTTGTTGGAGGCGTAACGATCATAAGCACTCGTGGCACGGTACTGTCTCGCCTTGGACTCTCTTGCCTTGTGGAGTGCCTCGCGCACGCCGGTCAGAGGGGTCTCGTCCTCAGCTTCGACGGCCTCTGCCTCTTCAGGCTCGTCATCGACACCACCCATTTCCTCATCACTATTGTCGCTGACCCGCTGGGCGGCTTTCCGTTTTCGTGAGGGGCGTTCCCGGCGGGGTTTTTGGCTCTGTACCTGGTCCACCACCGAGCCCAAAACCAACTTCTCGCCCTGAACTTCGGCACGGTAGTCAATGACCTGTCGCAAGGCAGCCTCAATCTCATCAGTCAAATGGGTCACATCTCCGTTTAGCTTGTTGACGTATTCCTCGAGCTCGGCCTCGTCCTCCCCCTTTTCAGATTCGCCGCGGCCACGTCGCTTTTCGATCTTGCTCGTCAACTGTGATTTACGAGCAAACAGGGTATCGTTGATGGCGCCGACGGCCTCTCGCAGGTAGGTAGCGGATTTGGAAAGATGGTCCTCGTACTTGCGCATCTCAGCGTTGTTGTTGGTGATGTTGGCCAGGGCCTGTCTGCCTGCATCGTTCATTGGATGCGAGGGAGGCTCGTAGGGTGGCAGATCGGACCCATTGTGGGCTGATGTCGACGCAGAGGCGGTTGACTGAGGGCGGCGCGAACCCTGAACAAGTCGTCCGGGTGGCATGATGTTGGAATGCCTGGTATTGAGCTGGCGCGGCTGGGTGTAGGTGGCCGCTGGCTGTCCGTGATAACCTGCTCTTTGCTGGGCGATCCGCTGTCGTGCCTATAGACCCTTCAATCGAATATGATACTGCGTAGTGTTGGCTTGGCAGTTAGTGCCACTGTGTATCCCCAGGTGAGCAGGATAAAGAACTGGACCGTTGAGGCGTAGAAGGCGGGTGGAAGAAAGCGAAACAAGGGCCGGAGGGGTTCTTGATTGCCGTGGAGTCTCGGGATATTTAGCGATCAGGGAGTCTAAAACATGCGAGTTTCGACGGAGATGGTACGATGACTTGTTAAACACGCTGTTAAACACGCTGTAGAACACCCTGTCGAGCCTGTGCCGTTGTGCGGGTTGGGTGTGTGGTTGCTTGTGTGGTTGCTTGTGTAGCCCTGCTAGACCTGCGTCGAACAGAGATCGAACAAAGATCGAACACAACGATCGAGACGTCTCAGCGGCTGGCAATGGTATTCCTTGTCCGGGTCGACCAAGCTTGGTGATTTAGTGATGGGAATCGTGAATGGGGATGGAAATTGGGGCGGGGTTGAGGTCGGGATCGTAAAAACGCGTGTTACCATCGCGTCTCGACTACTCGTCAGGACGTTTACGTCTCGGTCCAAGGAGTACTCACATGACCCGACCCCATTACCAAAGCTTCCTAACCCAAGTAGATACGCTAAGACCGACCCCACATTGTAAAAAATCTCTCATCCGACCCTCGCCCCCTTAATATTTTCTTTCCCCATAGAGAAATAATTAATCGCTCGCTCAAAATTCCCTATAGAGAAATAATATTACTCGCATTTTTTAAATACTCCTCTTAAATATTAACGATCGCATATCCAAATACGACCGTAAACTGACCGCGACTAATATCTCCTCATTATATACGAACAGCCCGTAAATTATCTTTAATATATCCCCAAATCATCTTCGCAAAATAATTAATAATAATATTACTAACGCTAATACCTTAACTATGATTACTAAACTCGGCTTAATTAAATAGAATAATATAATCTTTATTAAACTATTAATAATATTTAATTTAGAATAAATAAATAATACAACGGCCGAATTTAATAAATTAGAAGAATTAAAGGATATAACCCCTCCTAATATATCGATACTAACTGACCTCTTAATAAGTAGACGGATATAATACTACCCGATCGTAACTATATTTCCTATAAATTAATAATATAATATATTAATTACCTAAAGGTCGAACATACGGGCCTGATATTTATTTTACCTAATAATATTAATTAATATTCTAATTTAATTTAAATAATATACTATATTATAATTATTCCTAAATACACCGAATCTTCTATTAATAGCGTAGCCTATATTATATATATTAAAAATTTAAACAAAGCTAAAATTAAAACCCCGTAGTAAGAAGTATATAAAGAAATTACTCCTAAATAAATACTTCTATAAACAACTTTAATAATTAATTTATAATATTATAAATCTAATACTATACCCAACGGAAAATGCTTACTAAGAATACTTCGTCGAGTTATTTAAATAATATTATATACTGTCGTTTTACCTTCAAATATGATAATATTAAATATTATAAATATTTAGACCCGCGAATTTTATAAGCTTACTAATAAAGCTCTTCTCCCGCAATCGATAAAGAAATTATAAACTTTTTATTTAAAATCCGCTTCTAATAAAATAAGGTCCTATTAATTAGGCGAATTATTAAGTATAGACCTATGCCTAACTTATCCCTAATTTATTATCCCCAAACTATTTTCTATATTACTTTAATTCAATTTAAAAAAATTATCTTCAATTAATACTATTCTAATAATTAGTTACGTATAGGCGTTTAAAAAGCGTTAGGAAATATATAGTTATAAAGAAACGAAAGTGTTATATAAATTTGTTTAATATATATCGAAAGTAGATATTTATTTATAATATATTCCTAATAAATCCGTATTATATTTAATACTTATATTTATTTAAATATTAATCAGCTATAATCGCTACTATTTAAAATATTAGAATTCAAAGATTAGAGAATATATATACTTCTTTTATTTTATCCTTAATAACTTTTATTAATATTAATTATATATTAAATTGATTATTGAAAGCTATTTAAAATACTCTATACTTAATTTATCGTAAGTCAAAACGGATACTAAAATTAAATTTATATTATTAAAAAGGTCGCGCTATAATAAATAGATTCTTATTTAACATATTTAGGATTATTTATAATTTATTATTAATAAATTAAAGACTAATTACTTTTAAAACTATAATACTATAACGATTTGACTCTACGATATTACCTCTAATTATTATATTCCTATTAATATTAAAACTATTCTATATATTGTTATAATTTCCTATAATTAATATTACTACTTATTCCTACTATTTAATAAAACCCCTAAACGGATTATTGACGATTTAAAACGGGTATTAAGAAGGTTTAATAACTCTAATATAATTTAAAGTAAATTAATTTAGGATATATCGTTAATAAATTAATGATAGGCTAATTGTTAATTAGAAATTTAGCAAATTTAACTTATAACCCATATTTTATTTAAATTTTTAATAAATATAATATTAATACTATTAACCAAATCTATCCGAATTTAAATAATATTAATAAAGTTCACTTAGTGATTCGAAACTATTGTACTCTTTATTAGCCTTTAGAGACTTTGAACCTTAAAATTGTAATATAAGAATATTAATTACAATACTGAAATCCAAACTCTCGTATAAATTTATACGTCCGGTATTTTTAGAAATAAATTACTGATTTTCTCCTATAGTATATTTAGAGAATCCTTAGCGATAGGACTAATTTTATAATTATTTATTTCTTTAAAGAATAAGTCGAATTCTTTTATAAAGGCCTTATTAAGTCTTTCGAATTAGATATAAACTATAAATATCTTTCCGATATAAAGAATAGGGAAGTTATGTAAGGCTTCTACTCAAAATAAATAAAACAATATAAATTATTAAATTATCCCGGATTTATCCCCAATATATCTCTAATTTTAATAGTTATCCCTCTTATCCGGATCTTTACTAATACTAATTTAGTCAAGGTATATATATTTACTTTTAAAATAATATTTAAAATTTTTGAAAAGGATTATAAATATATAATTTAATAGTGTAAATTATTAAAAAAAAGTCTTTATAATATTATTATAAATTAAGATTTTAAAGTAATTATAAATATGTTATTAAATTTCAAAACCTCTATAATATATTACTATTTACCCTTTTATTAATTGGTATAAGTTTTTGGGCATATATATCTAAAATTCATCCCCATTCCCGTAGGGTTATATATTTTATTTACTATTTAGTACAATTTTACTATATCTACTTTAAGCGTAGTATTAAAAAGTACGTAAAAAATGAATTATAACTTCGCTAATAAATAGAAGGGTTATTTAATTATGAAACCCTTAATAAATATATATAACTCTATTAATATTTAATACGTAAATTGATGATTATCTATTTTTGTTTCTTTAATTATATACCTAATTAATTATTCTTTAAGTAATTCGCGAAAAGGAGTTTGGAATTGGGCGAAAAATAAAGCTATCTTAACGGTTGGCATTAAATATAATTACGCTTACTCTAAAATAAACTAAGAAATATAAGATATATTTTAATTAAATACTAATACGGTTAAAATATTATATAAATAAACCTTTCATTAGAACGACCAGTTCGTATTACTACTTCTTTATATTTACACGTAAACTATTAATTAGAATATATCGTTAATATATTAAAAATCTATTATTTATATATTGTAATTAATATATTAATAAGAATATAAAACTTGATTATTAACTTATAGTATATAAAAATATTTAGGTAAAATATAGTATTAAATTTAGGTATCAAACTAATTCGCTAATGAATTAATCAAATTATAATATAACAAGGACGGATAGTAAATTAATAATAAAATAATAGTTTATCTAATATATTCGGAGCTAATTTAATATAGATAAATAGAAGAAGGATAATACATTTATAACGGAAAAGGCAACTAAAAAAGTACCAATTTTCCTTAATTTAATAACCCCTCTTCGTCCTTTAACTACCTCCTCTATTTCTATTCTATAAAGTATAATAGGGTTAATTTTTAATAATTCCCTAATTCTACTTTTTTTTCGGGTTTTTAACAATAATCAACCCTTTATAAAAGTTATATCTTCTAATATTACTACTCTAAAATTAATCTTATATATCTCCTAATAAATTAGTAAAACGTTTTTAGAGATCTAATATATATATTAAATATTGATTGCCCTAAATACCTACCCCGCGGCTACGAATATCGGTTTAAAAAGTAAGAGAAATATAGGCCAAAGAGAGAAATAGAAAATTAGCGCGCGTTATTGAATTTAAATATATATTTACCAAGCGAATAAAAGCGGAAATTACAAATACTAAAATACCCAAAAAAAAATACTGAAGTGTAAATAAAACTATTTTAATTAATAAAGAAAGGTAAATTTTAAGAGCAAGAAGTATTTATCCTAATTATTAACGTAATTTATATACTCCTTATAAATAATTTACTTTTATTAGATAATATATTATATATAATTACGGGTTTATATAAAAACCTAAAATAAATAATAGCGTTTATACGTTTATATGGTTACCCTTATAGAACCCTCCTTATACGTAGCTAATCCCGCCTTTATATAATTAGAGATATTATAATAATTATAATTACCGCATATTTATTATACTACTACAATTAATAAATATAAAAGATAAATAATTATAAGGAGAGTAAAGATACTTTTATTAAATATTTAAAACGCCCTATATAAACTTTTAATTAAAACGCATTATTTTTCTATAAGGAAGGTCCAACCTAATCAATATCCTATAGCATTTACTCTCCTTAAGATAAACCTATATACGTAAAATAT